TTTGAACCATTGTACAAGTAAATATATCTGTTTCGTGTTTTGTTTGCCATTGCCTCCTTCTTCATAGATGCTTTAGACTGATATTATTAATTCTGCATTTTCCACTACCTCATCTTTCTTAGCTTTTGGACAAATAAATAAGGCAGTAGCAATTTATGAGACAATTAAAACCACGTTGTCATTTTCTTATTCAAGACGGGATTTTATAATGCAGAACAGCATCCACAATCGGGCTTAATAAGGTGAAAGCTTCATGAAACAGTTTACAGTGGTACCTCAGGTTAAGAACTTAATTCGTTCCAGAGGTCTGTTTTTAACCTGAAACTGTTCTTAACCTGAAGCACCACTTTAGCTAATGGGGCCTCCTGCTGCCGCTCCGCTGCTGGAGCCCAATTTCTGTTCTTATCCTGAAGCAAAGTTCTTAACCTGAGGTACTATTTCTGGGTTAGCGGAGTCTGTAACCTGAAGCGTATGTAACCTGAAGCGTATGTAACCCGAGGTACCACTGTATATCTATAATAAAAACATTTGACATCTTTCATTGGCTCTCTTTTTAGTTACAGAATATCAGTTTAAGAATAAACTACAGTATGCACACTCATGGACATCTTAAGGTTTGTAACTGAAAGGGTATAATGTTTCATCATTTTGTTTCTTTGTGGAGGCAAATGCATCAGTTGGAATCATATACATTAAACAGTTGAAGAGAAGGAATCTAAATTGTCAACATTTAAAATCTAGATCATATGCAGTTCATCAGTGTGGATATGCCACAGCACAAGTTGCTTTAGATTACTGCTGTATCCTTAAATGTGTGAAATGTTAACAGGCAAAGAGAGCAATTATCTAAAGGATATGAAACACATCCTTTATATTGCATCAAAATCTCATAAACCACACTGAAATCAATGGGGTTTGCACGCTCCTGGGTACTGTAATTGAAATATCAGATATGCAGTGGTCAGTTTCTAACAGCAAACATGTGGAGGCATGTCTCTATCTTATAACTTAAGATATTCCAGAAATGAACCCAGGTATTTTAAAAATGGTTCTGGGGTTGAGCCCTCAGAGTTCTGCAGTCACCTAGTAATTTTTGAAATTTGCACTGTGGGATTCTTCTCTTTTTTTAACTTTTCACTGACTCAGCACATATCACATTAAATCTTAGTTTCAGTCATACAATGGTTTAATGTGAGCAAGCAGCATGCTAGAGGACAACACACTCCTGAAAAGTTCCTCTTGCTGCTGCCACAATGTTCTGGATGAAACAAGCCAGTCTAGCTTGTTGGCGTTATCTGAATGAACCTGGGTGCATGGTTTCTTTCTTTCCAAACAAATCAGTATAGTAATAATCAAAATTTGTTCTGGGCTTACCATTTGTGGTTTGCTTGGGGAAAACAAATCATAAGCCCAGGTTCACACAATGACACTGAGTGCTGTGGGAGCTTTGAGGAGCGTGCCCATTAACTTTGCTTGTTTGTGTTAAAAAAATAGTTTTATGTGTGACATAAAACTTGGCAACTCTGTCGCTCATGGATTTGATCTGGATGTAATAGCTGTCACTCATCTGTTGTTTTGTTATTAGGCTGCTTGTTTATTATCCAAGTTAATACATGGCAGCTAATGTTACATATAAATGTTGTTGTTTAGAGGGTAGTCTGCTGATAATTGGGAATCTTCTTGAGCTTTTTAATAAGATAACCTACTGAGTAGATGGGGAGGACAGAGAAATAGCCAAAAAAGGCAATTGGCAGGTTATGAAAACATAAAAAGAGAATGAGGAGAGAAAGAAAGAAAGAAAGAAAGAAAGAAAGAAAGAAAGAAAGAACGGGAAAGTGTGCAAGTGTTGAGTTTGCTAGATGTACAACTTCTTGGTCTCCAGGCTATTTTCCCTTTAGATGGTCAGATTTGCCTGCTGATGAATGTAGTTGGTGGGGTCCAGTTTGATTCAGTGGGTTTTCTAGGAGTTCCATTTTCTTATAATGATGTCAAATTATAACTATTACTCTCCTCCTCCTACTCCTCTACCACCTTTACTGGCACAGGATTTAAGTCACCTATCATGAGAAATCCATCATGGGATTATGTAGAGCAAGACACAGGAATCTTCTTCAAAGCAAAATAATCCTTGTGCCTCAAATGTTTATTTTATTTGAAGAAGTGATAACTTCAGACACATCCATTCTTAAGGAAATTAGCCCTGAGTGCTCACTGGAAGGACAGATCATGAAGCTGAGGCTCCAGTACTTTGGCCACCTCATGAGAAGAGAAGACTCCCTGGAAAAGACCCTGATGTTGGGAAAGATGGAGGGCACAAGGAGAAGGGGACGACAGAGGACGAGATGGTTGGAAAGTGTTCTTGAAGCTACAAACATGAGTCTGACCAAACTGCGGGAGGCAGTGGAAGACAGGAGCGCCTGGCGTGCTCTGGTCCATGGGGTCACGAAGAGTCGGACACGACTAAACGACTAAACAACAACTCCAGACCCTGACTTGGTTAAGTATCTCCTGTTGTTAGGTAAATTCAAGGTGATATGTTGCCATGAGAACTAACATGGCACAAGAACGCAGAGGTGATAAAGGGTAGAGAAGATCTATATTCTTTCTTCCATTTAGCCAGGGGAAGGAGCAAGGAATCTCTGTGTGAAAAGAACAGATATGCAGTTTTGGAAGCAGAAACAGAGACAACTTTGAGGTTTCCCTATTATTTTTGACATTGATATGCCATCCTTCCTCTGAAAGGAACCCAGATCAGCAAACAAATTAATAACAATACATCCAAAACCATCCAAACGCAATTCCAATACAGATGCAGACTGAGAAATATCTCTACTTAAAAACCCTTTCCAATAGGCACTGAAAAGACAACAGAGAACCATTCCCTACTTTGTTCAGAAACATTTCCTCATTTGCCTGTATTTGTAGCTTCCCCCCACTGTCATCTTGTGGTTTAACAGTTTTAAAAATTCTAAACCAATTTTAATTGCAAACAGCTATCTCAAGTCTGTGAACTAATTGAATTTGTTGTCCAGTCACAAGAGTCAGCTCCTGGTTTTAGATCCCAACAAAGCAGATCTATCTACTAGGCTTGCCTGCTGTCTAGGGCAACTTTGTGCAGGGCCCACATTCTGGCAATGAAATGCATGGACTTACACATAATAGCTTTTCAATCATCTCTCAGCTCTGGGTTATACATGTTTCTGTCAAGCTCCACCATAAAAAGGAAAGCTCAATGCATATGGTAGCAAATGTGGTGGCAGAATAGATAGCTGAGGGTCAGTGGCATGCAAGGCAAGCTGGGAAGGATGGTAGGTGAAGAGTAGACTGCCAGTCCCTAAGGATCAGCAGTCTCAGGAAGCAAAGAGTTGTTGCAGGAATGTGTGAGAAGCAGGTGTCTGTGAAGGAGAAACAACAGATGGAGAGGAGCTCCAGGATCAATAGGAAGATCTTGCCCCCTAAGGGTGGCTAAGCTTTTTGGGCAGCCTAACACCTTGTGGCAAAGCCCCCGGGGGTTGTGTGCTGAAGTACATGGGGCCACACACACAGGCATAAACACGCATACCAACAGACAGGCGCTGTTTGTCCATTCTCAAGTATCTCACCAAGTCCACAACACAGAATGCATCAGTGAAACTGTATTAAAAGTTACACAATAATGTTAATGCAACCTACACAGATATGGGCTGCGATCCAAGCTGTTCTGGTGTGCATCAAAACACTCTGCATGTACTGTGAGGAAAGGTGAAACACATCCCTCTCTGCTCCTCTGCAGATCTGCGATTCACAGTGATCGCAGGAGACAATTTGCCCAATTCTCCACTGATTGGGGCCCTGATCTGAAATGAGCTCTGTTGGATAGTGCTCAGTGCTCTGAGAAGTACTAAAGGCTTCTGCCTTGACCAGGAAGGGCACCCTGGAGGTCTCTCTTGAGAAATTCTTAGCTCTGCAGATGTGTTCATACAAAGACTATTGAGTGCTCAGATGGCACTCAGCAATGTGGAAGCAGTTGTGGAACTGATACAATCATGCTGCCATGGTCACAACAGCAAAGACCCCATTCTGCACTGTAAATCCAAGAAAGAAAAATGATGCTGATTCTTACACCACAGCACTTAAGATCTCCATTCCATTGCAGAGCCCCAATGCAGTTTGCAAACTTTAGAAAAATGTTTGGGAGGTTTTTGGATCTACAGAAAATCACTTGCCAGGGACAGGGGATGAATCAGACCCTCAGGCTGGGTGGTCACCACTCCTGAGCTAGAGCACCAAACTTCTTGTATCCAGCTCTGTCCAAATGAGTTTCCAGCTTGGACCAACACTTCCCAGAGTTGAATGCCATGGCCTTAATAAGAGCTGGAGAAGGCATGATCCGCCACACCCAAAACATTTCTAGGAAACCAGCTCATAAGAGTACAAGAGCACAACTCTGTCCCTGAACAATGGCGACAACAGTGACTTACTTCATGGGAACTTTGTGCAGATATATGAGAGGCATCTTATAAATCAGTTCATACGTTAAAAGGGTCTATGGAAATGATATAATAACTCCTCTTTAAGTTGATATGTAAAACGATATATATTGGATCATGCTTCATTGCTTTTGAGGGCAGCGTGACTCAAAGCAAAGTGGCAAATTACAATGGGAAAATGAATCCTAGCCAGTGAAAGTGAGATTTAGAGTCATGCCATCCCCTTTCCCCCTAATATCCTTCTAATTGTCCTTTATAAGAAACATATGGGGGCAGGCAAGACATCCCTCAAACACAATCTGTTTTGAATCTTAACATGACATTGGGCAAGCCTAGTAATGGGGATATTATGACAGGATTAATAGTTGGTTAGCTCCCTCTAAACATTGCCCTGAGCTATGCGTCATTGCCAGCAACCTCAGAATTCAAAAGCTTTAAGCTTGGAGGTTGGCACCACCATGCTTGTCTTTATACAGCAGCCATTTTCTAAACGCTGAACGCAGAAGATTATTGATAATGCAGAATCAAGGCATGACTGGTAAGCAAAAAATGGTGGCTGCTGGTAGCAACAGAGGTGGGAAGGTTGCAGTACAATGCCAACTCAGCATATTTTTTTTAAAAGGTTATCAGTAGTGTCAGGGAACTGACATCGGAGCCAGAGGCGGAGGCAAGGCTCCCAAGCGATGCCGGAGAAGGGCCCAGCAGGGGGAGAGGCGGCTCACCAGCTGGGGAAGGAAATCAGTGTAACACCAGGGATAAAGGGGGGCAGATGGGGGAATCGGCGAGGGGGTTCCGGGACTCCTCGCCGGAGATCAGCGAGGAGAGCACGGGTCCTCCGCTACCCACGCCCTCCCGCGCAGGGAGAGTAGGAGGAGACTTGGAGTCAAACAACTTTTATGCTGGAAAAGGTTTAAGAAACGCCCACTGACGGATTCTGCTAGCAACTGAACAGCCACGAAGTATAGGGCTGTCCAGACAGAAAAGGTTTAACAAGGCAAACTAGCCAGGAGTGGCACCAACTTGCGCACGAGTAACCCCCATTTATTACAAGTAGCACCTGTACACTTTAGTTAAGGGATAGTTTAGGGGCGTTGGGAGTCCTGCACCATGTGGAAAGCCACAGGTTCCTCCTCTGCTATTTCAGGTATATGACTCCACTCACTATGGGTGCTACTACTTACAGCAGTGGCATGCATTAGCCTTCCACTGAATATTTCTTTCCCAGAACATATGTGAGCTCATCTTTCTAACTTTCTCTCTGTTGATTCTCCACAATAGTCCTTACCTATCCTCCCTGCAATTCTCCTTCCATCTATGTATGCTTCAATGATGAGTTCCATCTTTTCCCACCACAACCAGTGTTTATATGTAAGAACTTCGAAACATTATGAAATTACATGCCAGCAATAAACGGGCAGCAAAGCAGTCAAATCCCTAGCTGTAAAAACACCCGTTAATAAGATAATTTTAAAGAAAAGACACTCTGCAAGTCATCATTCTAAATTTCAGCAACTTTTACTTCATACAGTTAAAACTGGAATTAACTTTATACTGCTTATAATTATTATAACTTACAAAGGGTTGGATCCAGACTTGCTGTTCTATGTTGAGAAGGGCTCCTTCCATCAGCCAAAGTACCTCAGATCCAGGTGAGGCTCTTCTGAACAGGAAGAAGCAATTTTTGCTGATTTCTCCTTCTCCTGCTGGCCAACTCCATTGCTGCTCTAGAGGATCCCCAACTTTATGGAACAGATTTAGGAGCGGGGGCAGAGGGAACCAGCAAAAATCATATCTTCCCTCCCCATTTAGTGGAATTCTGTTCCAGGCAGAAATCAGTAAAATGTAGATTGGGGGAGGGGGTTAAGAATAAATAAAAAACCATCAATTTCAGGCAGAACTGTAACTGCTTCCTGAAGCCACTTCTGTTCAGCTGCAGCTATGAGTAGAGTGTGGTCATACAAAATATTTTGAAGAAGTGTTACTTTTAAGCATCAGTCATAGGGGAATTTCCCACCCTTTAGACTGTTGGAAACATGACAATATTACAGACTTAGCCCAAGACAAGGGATCTGGGGTGGTATCTGACTGAGCAGACACAGCATTATTGCTGCAGTGAGGTGGGGCACCTTCTGTCGCAGCCATCTGAGAAATGCTATGTGGCAACAGATACTATTTGAAATAGATAAAGTTCTTGGAATTTATAGCACTCACAGGGTGAAAGCCAATGTAGCGCTAAATGAATGTTCTCTCAGTGTAAAGATTTCTGCTTGTACAATTAATATTCTCCCTTTCTTCTCCTCTGTACCCCCAATCTCTTAAGGAGATTTGGAGAGCGTGCAAGGCACACACAGGGGCAGGAGATGGAGGGAAAATCCAGTTGCACAAGCAGGAATCCTTGCAGTAATAATACTGCCCAGAATTTGTTTGGCTGCATGTGTGCGGAGGTAGGGTATTGGAGGTAGTTCTTTGTTTGTTTGCTTCCTGCAGTAGCCTTTTGTATGGTCTATAGAGCACATCTGTTTTTGGGAATCTACTTCTGCATGTAGAACATTATCACTGGATCAGAGGATGACACACACACAAAATAATTTTCTTCATATCAATTTAATTTACTTTTGGGCAACTCTGGGCAAAACAAACAATAACAATAGAAACGGTATAAGACATTAGTAGGAATTTTATTATTATAGGGTGCATGCCAAACCAAATTTCTTGAGACAGATTTGTAAGTTTTAAGAATATTGAATGAGATTTTTTTTTAAAAAAAAAGTGCAACACATATTCTCACTTTAGGGACTTAAGGTTCTTGAATGTTTCCAATACCCTTTTAAAAGCTTTCAAACATCCTTGTCTCCTAAAAGGGTATTTACTATTTGTTAATTCCCACAAGGCATTTTCACACACTTCATGAGTAAGTGGCTCGCCCCTCGCCCCCCCCCACGCACACCACACACACTTTTTACTATGTTAACATCCACAACGAAAGCCAAAGGAATTTGCAGACCTTTGTGCATTCCATGTCATATTACTTGGGGCTGGAATGCTGTGTCACAACCTGGGTGGCTTAGAGTAAAATAATGCATTTCTTTCCCCCTTAATATTTGGAATCCACACATTTTCTAACAGATCATTTATTCTCAGTAATTCACATTTTATCATAGCAAATATTTTATAACAGATGCTTTCCTTATTCTGTGCTTGCTCACTGTCATAACACTGCTAGTTTATGAAGCAAGATTATTCCTGCTTCCTGGATGTAGCTGGGTTGCTTCCACACTACTCATTTCCCCTGGAATGGCAGCCAAACTTCATGTAATGCTAAGGGCACAATATCTCTTTCAGAAATAGTGTGTGAGTAGGATCTGGATTGGGACTCTAAAATAGATGTGCAGGAGGGCTCTAGCCTTTGCCCCCTACTGCTGCTGATTTGTATGAGGCCCTCACTTTTCTGCAATTTGCATGAGGAAAAGTTCCCATTTGCTTCTGTGGGAGCTCCTTTTTTGCAATGCAAATTGCATAGGTCTAAGATTTAAAGATGCAGGTGGTGCTGTGGTCTAAACCACTGAGCCTCTCAGACTTGCCGGTCAGAAGGTTGGCGGTTCGAGTTCCTGCAACAGGGTGAGCTCCTGTTGCTCGGTCCCAGCTCCTGCCAACCTAGCAGTTCAAAAGCACATCAAAGTGCAAGTAGATAAATAGGTACCACTCCGGCGGGAAGATAGACGGTGTTTCCGTGCGCTGCTATGGTTCACCAGAAGCGGCTTAGTCATGCTGGCCGCATGACCCGGAAGATGTCTGCTGACAAACGCTGGCTCCCTTGGCCTGTAAAGCGAGATGAGCACCACAACCCCTGAGTCATTCGTGACTGGACTTAACTGTTAGGGGTCCTTTACCTTTTAAAGATTTAAAGCTCCCCGATACCCCACTCCTAAACACTGGCCAGAATCTCCCCTCCCCCATTTCTTGGGGGGGAAACCAAGTTAAGGGCAAAACACTTGATCAACATCACATGTAGTTTGGCTCTCTTTCACTCAGTTATTATGGGGAATTCAGATGTCGTCACTGACAAACTGCTGCATCCCCATGTTTTCTATATTGTACTCCAATCAAGACCTGGTTTGAGTCATTAATCTGGCTTGCTCAGTGGGTAGACAGGTCCTTGAGACTGTTATTGATGCCCACCCACCTGCATTGCTGGCTTGCCTCATTTTGGTGTTGCTTGAAGCTGGCCCTTATAATCACTCATAAGTTGCATCCACCCCGTACATTTAAAGAACATGGCTTCCTCCAAAGAATCCTGGGAACTGTAGTTTGTTAAGGATGCTGGGGATTGTAGCTCTGTGAGGGGTACTGTTTGGGGGAAGTTATGTACTTAAAATGTATGAGGTGAATGTAGTCTAAGCAAGTGTGTTTTTGATTTATTTTAAATTTAAAATAAATATTTTTAATAAAGATAAAATAAACAAGCAAGTAAGCTCCCATGGAAATGAACAGGCTGATAAAACATATTTGGGATAATTTTGTAATAAAGGTCTAAATTCAAAGACTTGGTCAAAGGGGAAAAGGCAGACATCCCCTGGGTATGCCCCCAAGGCCTTGAGTTTATCTAAAGTAAATTGTTAGACCCCTGGCAAAAATCTTGTACTGTCGGGCTGTCCGAAAACAGAACAACATATAAAGCACACCATTAAATTGTTCCAGAGTTATAAGAAACAGGCCAGGTTAAAAATAGATGAATTATACATTTCAAAAGGCCTAAAAAGAAGGGCTGTTGCAATATTTTGGCTTTTATCTCTGGCTTTAAGAGGCAGGAAGCCATTGACAATTACATGTAGCTTGCTCTACCCAAGAAAACAGTAAATCCACTTTCCCACAGTTGTGTCTTATGCTCCCTCTAGTGTTTATTTTTGGATGTAAGCACAGGCAGGCTGGAGAGGAAAATCCTGGAGTCTAATCACAACATGTCCCATTAATAGGATTAAGTACCTTGTCATTAGATAAGTAGTACATGGCAAAATCTGTGACACTCATGGAAATTAGAACAGCATCCTGCCTTGGTCTTCCCTGAAGCTTGAAAGAGGTTTGCAAGAAGACGCATCAGAATTTGTGGTAAATATCACATCTTGTTGGTTCTATTACTAAACAGCATCTTTTTTCCCCATAAAATGTGCTGGCCACCTGCTATTGCTGGGCCTACAAATATAAAATCCATGACCTACATTTGTAGGTCTGAATTGTAACTGATTTTATTACTATTCATTTGATATCACTACACCTTCTAAAAAATAAATAAATAAAAACCTAGGTACAATTACTTGAAAAGAAAAGGAGAAGAAACTAATACAAAACTTTATTTTTTTTGCTTAGTAAAACAAGAATTGTGTGGTATATATTAATAATATATTGCAAAAAGTGAAATATTTTACAAAATGTAAAAGGGAACATTATGACTTGGGCAGGCAAGATCCAGCCAAAGTCAAGCGGTTTAAATTCACCCTTGATATCAGTGGGAAAATTAAGCATGTGCATAAATTTCCTGACCTGGAATGAATGGGACTGAAAGGTGTTTTATTAGACTCCAGAGCATATAGTGGAGAAGGTGGGAGAAAAAATATATGTGTTTTAGTCATTAACTTCAATAGGAAGTTGATTACACTGGATACATTTTCATTGATACTGATACCCCACACATATTACATGTTCTGCATTATTTTAAATAACACCGAAAACAGCTTTAGACCGTGGAAAAGCTAGTTATTTTCAGGAGAGTTAATGAATCCCATTTTAACATGTATATTATTTGCAAAATCATCTCTGCTTAGCAAAATGGGAACACTTTTGGTTTTAATTTTTACACTTCCTGAAGCAGCGAAAGAATGGAAAAGGTTTTCATTAAAAGTTAATATATATTATTGGGAGGGGGGGAGAAGAGGAGACACTTTGATACAAAATGTCAGGTTTAGCATCATTTGAAACATTGCCACAATGTTGTTGCACTGCGTGTTTCCACTGTTATAAGATATTGTTACATACTAAAGCATTTTACTACTGGCAGAAGCAGTCTTAAAACTGGGCCATTCTTTGAAGAATTTGTTGTTGTTGTTTTTTACAAAATGCTGGGGGGGAATATATATTATCATCGCAGTAAGAAAATACTAAATGCACAATATTTCTAAATTACCGCATTTTTCGCTCTATAAGACGCACCAGACTACAAGACGCACCTAGGTTTTGGAGGAGGAAAACAAGAAAAAAAATATTCTGAATCCCAGAAGCCAGAACAGCAAGAGGGATCGCTGTGCAGTGAAAGCAGCAATCCCTCTTGCTGTTCTGGCTTCTGGGATAGCTGCGCAGCCTGCATTCACTCCCTAAGACACACACACATTTCCCCTTACTTTTTAGGAGGGAAAAAGTGAGTCTTATAGAGCAAAAAAACCGGTAATCTTCCTAGCTGTCTGAGATGTATCTGAAAACCAACTCATTAACCTTTTGTATTGTACTCATTCCTAATGCAGAAAACATGAAGAAAACACTGTTCTTAATAACGTACTTATTATGTCTGAGGGGACATCAGTGTGCACCTACTGTGGAGGGAGACATAAATTTTGTGGAAAACCTGAAAGGTATGTACATGTTAAACCTCTGTGCTGGCCACTATATTTCTGAATAGACAAGTGAATAAAGAAGCCTCGTTTGAACCTGGGAACTTCCTACCTCTTTGCTAGGGAGACATTTTCAAGATCACTGTAAACAGATTAGCTATCGCTTAATCCCATTTTACTGTCCTGCTGTAATAAATGTGAGCATTCTAGTCCATGCTGGTAATTGCAAATATAACACCACAACATGTTAACCATTCTACACTAATTGACATGGACCACCAAGATATATGGATTATAAAATGATTAGTATCACTTCTAGATCAAATAAATAGGGCAATAATACTATTCTGTGCATATAGACTCAGAGGTAAACTCCACTGAGTTCAATAGGACTTGGCTTTCCTGTCAGTCTGAATTGCCTAGAGCCTAAATTAATGGGAAATCAGCAAAACTCTTGGTTGGTCGTAAGCCCTCTGTATGGAATTAGTTACCTCAGTTATCAATCTGATGGTTTCTGGGGCTATTTTTATTGCAAAGCCTGATTTTAAAAGGACCAAGTCATTTAAAAAAATCAACAAGAGAATCTGCAGTGATATTAACATAGTCTGTTCAGTAACTAACAGTACAGTAATTCTATACAGTAACAAGATGGCCTGGCTGAATTGCTCATGAAATCCGTTGGCTTTTTGCCATTGGGAATAATGCCAAGATGCCTACATTATTTTGACAAAATGTGTTGACACTTGTATGAAATATAGTTTATATGATGAGCATTCTGTAACTTTATTTGAAAATTAAGGTTCAGTAAGTTGAAACATATGATTGCTGAAAAGCATAAACTGCGTATGATTAACAGGAGATTCTAGTCCAGATTATCTGTTTGTATACACATTGAGGACAGAAGCAGAAAGACCCAGTATTATTATTATTTTTCTAAGTAGCATGTGTTAATTGTAATTCAGCACCTAGGCCACAATTTAAGGGATTGTTCGTTAAAATTATTACTACTAATAATAATATGGCGTTTCCCCTCAGTTTTATCTGAAGTTGGAGAGAAATATGTAGATGAAGAGGTAAAGAATGCACTGATTGGCATTAAACAGATGAAAATTATGATGGAAAGAAATGAAGTCAAGCACACTGATCTGATGAAAACTTTAAAGAAGAGCAGTGAAGAAAAAGAGGTGAATTTAGTCATCACAGTTTTAGACCTGGAGTGACTCAAATGTATGACATAACTGTTTTCAATGCTGGGACAAAGGGTATGACCCTTTTTTGAATGCTGTTTTGTTACTTAAATGGAGATGTGATAAAATGGCAATCTTTCTAAATCAGATAATTGAAGCTTGGCGAATAAGCACTCCGAGTCACAAAACATGGGCCTTAAAGGAATGCAGCACTCTAGTTTTCAGAACGTTACCTTGGACAACCTCCACATAGAATAAGTTGCTCAAAGAAATAAACATTTGAGCTATATGATAACTACATATTTTGCTGCACGTGAGAGAGAGAAATGTTTTTCATGTGCCCAAACCATTGTAAGTCAGTGCTTGTTTATTAGGGTGGTTAGGAATGTTGAATAAATGCAGCACTTTGTTATTAAAAACAATATTGTTCAAAATTCCTTGTGCATTAATCCCTTTAAAAGGAAGCATGCATGTTTTCTAGGAAATCCTCTCCAAACGATAATAAATTGCCAGGAGTCCCTAGTATCTATTTTGGAATAAAAACAAGAGATGAGTGCCATATGGTATGAAGCTGAGGTTTGCTTACCTGAAACTGTTCGTACAGCTGTGGTTAAGAAGTAATCACTCTCTAGAATTGGAACACAACCATGCTAAGGTGCTCCCCTAGCGGGACCATGGAAATGGAGGGAAGGAGATTTCAGAGTCTTCAGGAAGACTAACAACAAGAAAAACAAATGCCTTGGACTCAGGGAGTTAATGTGCCTTACCATGTTCATCTTCTGAGACACAAACAAGTCTCTACTGTCAGCTATACCCTTCTGCTATCAAATCCAGGAGGGGCTGGACAGCTGTTCCTATAGTATCACTGCTCAAAGGAGTAGCTGAGGTTGTGATTTGCCCCTGGTGCCAGCTCTATCGAGAAGAGCTGTCAACCAGTGGTAGAACACATGCTTTTCATGTTCCATGTCCATTCCCCAGGATCTGCAAGTAGAGCTGGGAAAGATTCCTGCCTGAAGACCTGTTGCCAATCAGGGTTGCAGATAACTCTGAGTTAAATGTACCAGTGAGCTGACTCATATGGCAGTTTCATGTGCTCATATGGCATGGTGATGGTGGTGGTGGGGTTAATGGAAGGGGGATAAACGGAGGGGAGATAGCCTTGCTTTTGTGGTGCCTCCCCACAGGTCATTGTGTTGCAAGATCCCACCTGATTTACCATGTATTTCTGTGTATAAGACTAGGTTTCCCCCCTCAAAAATAATATAAAAAATTAGGGCGCGTCTTATACACGGATAGTCTCTTCCCCCATTTTCTTAAATCTGAGTCCCCCAAAACAGGGGGCGTCTTATACATGGGGGCGTCTTATAGACGGAAAAATACGGTATATGCTTGTTAGGCAGGCACAAAGGAAGCTGCCTTATCCAGAGTCAAACCAATAGTTCATCTTTCTCAGTATTGTGGATGCTGACTGGCAAAGGATCTCCAGGGTTTCAGGAAGGAGGCTCTCCCACCCTGCCAGGCATTGAACCTGAGATCTTCTGCATGCAAGGCAGATGTTCTACCACTGAGCTATGGCCCTTCCCCATGATCTAGTTGTTGACTGAAGCAGGGGGGGAAATATGACTGGCACTATCCTTGAACACAGAAATGCAGAAATCTTAACTTGAGGATTATTAAGCACAAACATTGAATGTGCCCGAAAGTGGATTTCTGTTTCAGCAGGGGACACAGCAATTCTGTAGAAATAATGTATAACTAAGGCCAGTTTTCAAAACGCTGACGTGTATTCTGAATTAAGTAACTTTGTGATCCATAAGTTATAACCAATTCCTTAATTAGGAAGCTCTAAGACTTATGAATGAGGTCAAAGAAAGACTGGAAGACGAAGAGCAAATATGCCAGGGGTCTCTGAAGAATTTATGGGACGAGTGCCAATCTTGTCTAGAAAGTAACTGCATGAGATTTTATACCACCTGCCGCCATGGCTTCTCCACATTTACAAGTAAGGTAAGAGGCATGTGAGGGGAAGCAGCATAACTGTATATAGTATGTATTCTGCTAAAAGCTAGGGCTGTGTGCATGCCATCATCTTGAGAACCCACAGAGAAAAAAGGAGTAGAGTTGAAATCGCAGCTTTCTCCAGCTTTATTTTTATTTTATTCAGCATCTTCAAAAGTCAGAGGTGGAGCTTTAGTGCATCACATAACCCTTTGCTCTTTGTTTTGATCAGCAAAAGCAGATTAAAATATAATCAAGATGCACGCAAATTTTGCCTGGGTTCATAAATTATAGGAGCCACACAGCTTTTCTTGGTGTAGAATCTGAGTTACCTTGTTGCAAAGTATTGATCAGAGGGTTTGACAGTGTCGAAACAGCTCCTTCATCCCATAATCCTAAACAAAAGGAGAGTAAAATTGGTTGGGCACAGTGGGACTTGCTTCCAAATAAACATAGGATAGCACTGTATATCCCACGGACTGCCACCTACCCTAAGTTGGATCAGAATTTTCAATAATGATACTCATTGTCCAAGTAAGACGCTTGATTTTCTGGTCCTTGGTTAATTTGAAAGATAATACTTGCTTTTGTGCATTTCATTTTAAGGTTAAATGAATACAGCTGCCATGACATATTAGAGTATGGCGTCTCAGCATAATTCAGTTAATATGGAAAATTTGCATTTCAAAAAGTTTGGGGTGCTTCCATGCATGTGCTTTCGAAACATTCCTTTGCACCAATTACCAAAGGATGAGAATTGGACAATTTGCTGACAGGAACTATTTTCTATCCACACGCAGGTTGAAGATTTTTTCAAAAGATTGACTCCATTATCACTTCCTGTTTATGAGCTTCAAGAGCAAGATCTCCAGTTTAAGAAAAAACCTGGAGAAGAGGATGCCCAGCTGGCACAAATGGAACACTTGTTCAACCAGCTGTTATCTGACGTGGGCACAATCTTTGAAAAAAGCTTTGTTTTTTTCAAACGGATGCAAAAAGAATTTGATCAGTCTTTCCAAATGTATTTCATGTCTGATCCAGACTTGACGGAGCCCTACTTTTTGCCAGCTTTTTCTGAGGTAACTGTAAGAAACCCCATTCCCCCTAAAGACTGGGAGGCACCAGGCTTCCTCCAACTAGTTTTTGACTTCAGCAAAACTGTCCTGGAAGGTGTTGGTGAAGTGATTACTGAGGTATTTGAAGAATACCGAGAGACTGCAAGAGACATGGCAGAACAACTTAAAGGCAAGTTGTAAAACTCGCATTTTAATATCAGTAGCATTGAACCTTTACTGTAGTTTTTTGCATTTTTAGGAGCATATCGATTCAGGCTGGTGTAAATCACTGCAATGCTATTGTAATATATTTTATAATGTTGTTGTTGTTGTTGTTTATTGCATTTACATCCCACCTTTTTCGCCAAGGGTCTCAAGGTGGTGTACATCATTCTCTCCCTCATTATTTAATCCCAACAGCTGCTGTATGAGGTAGATTAGGCTTCAAGTTAGTGACAGGCCCAAGATCATACAGTGATATTCATGGCCAAGTGGGGTTTGGATCCTGGTCTCCCAGGTCTTAGTCCAACACTCTAACCCATAGGTAGGCAAACTAAGGCCTGGGGGCCGGATCTGGCCCAATCGCCTTCTTAATCTGGCCCGCTGAAAAAGGTTGCTGACCCCTGCTCTAATCACTACACCACACTGGCTATCCAAAAAGCAGCAATTGTATTCACTGGATTGATTTCTATTCCGGTCAGGGGATGAACAAACTTGATTTCCCATCCACCTCATTTTAGGTTACTGACAGTTCCCTATGCAAACATCATCAGACTGCCACTCTCAGCCTCATAAATATGTCTGCTGCTTTTAAGATGGTTGTTTCATGTCTACTTTGATGTTTAAACCACTCAAGATCATATTTTACTTAATTAGATCTATGTTATCGTTAATGTAGTGTACCATGTGTATTGTTAATATTGTATGCATGTTTACTCTAGATTCTGATGGAAGTGGAATGTTCTCTAAGAACATGGCCGACCATGAGAGAACTCCGTGCAATAAGCTGCGTCAGAATTCATCGGGATGCCCTCAATTTCATGATAGATGCCAAAAATGTCAGGATCATTTTATGCGAGGTAAATAACGGCCCTGTTCATCACCAACGATACTACTGTCAATTTCTGTTTTGCAAAATAGTCATAACTATTTAGATTTAATTGCTGATGAAATGGTTTTGAGAAGCCACAAAAACTGAGTCAAATGATTCAGTAAAACTTTCCTAAGGACAGAATATATTGTAGTAGGTGTTTTTACTTGCTATAGTAAAACCAGGGTTAATATCAACTACATACATGTCCAAAACTACATACTGATAAGCCCACAACAGAATCCAGCTGCATAGACACTGTTCTGCCACTTAAGACTTTTTATAACAATTTTGAGAATAGGTACTTCTATAGATTGATAAGCAATTACACTTTTTAAAAATATATGAATTTTTAAGAATGTTTCTTAAATTTCTTTAGGAAGTTTTCTACATTTTGTTTGATTCCTATAGTTTGCCCCGATGTTCCTGAACTACATACAAAGTATGATGATGCCTCTAAGCTGGTGAACATCTCTGGTGAGCAATACCAACAGATTCTCCAGATGGTCAAACGTCACACAGAAGACACAGCCTACCTGTTGAATAAAATGAAAGAAAGATTTGGCTGGGTGTCCGAACTTTCCAACATGACTATTGGACCAGAAAACATTTTCAATATAGTAAAGGTAAATGCCACCCATTAAAATGCCACTGCACAATGATCTCTCTGTTCTGTTTCACTGATATTTATTGCTTCAGTACTGCCTAGGGAAAATGTGTGTGTGTTATTTTTGTTCTTTAAAATACTAAGCTCTTGTGGAGGTAGATTTTAAGTATACTTGATAATCCCTTGATGATCTGAAACTCCAGAGCTTAGACACTAGCCTACTCTAAATCCTTTTAGTGTGATGATGGTTAACTGACCTGTATCACCATCTGACAGCAATGAAATGGCACAAACTGGTTTGAATTTCTGTAAATTACTTTTCAAGAAGAAGAGAGTTTTGCTAGCATCTGACAGGCATCTTCTTTAGATCAATATAACAAAAACATAGCTCAGGGCAAAGGGAATGTTATAATCCTTCAGGCACACAGGGTACAAGTCATGCAGTGCCTCCAGTAATTTTCCAAAAGGTGTTCTGGAAAAAAATTCAAGTTCTCACTTGCACTGAAAATTATAAAGGAAAGATAAATTATGCTATATTGCATACAATTTTACATAGTACCCCAGGGTGACTTAAGAAGGAAAAAAAAAACAGTTGTTGAGAATTTGTTTTGTAATCCATGGATGAGGAATTGGCATTACCAAGACCAGGAGTCTAGGAGGTATTGCTTCTGGTTGTGCCCATCTGGGAACTCAGTGCAGAACCAACATATGCTGAAGGGTTCAGGAGGTGCAACTGCTGTAGTCTCTGGAAATTCATATTTTTCTCTCCAGGACTCCTGGCTGCTTGAGTACCAGTTTGGAGAATCTGTACCTTAATTGGGCTCTGGGAACAGACAAATTTCTGCTGCTAAAAATTGTTTAACGCTGCATTCTACTGTTTATATTGATGCCTTTAAGTTTTGATGCCTTTAATTACGGTAATAAGGGTATTTATATACTGCTTAATAATAACATATAATGCATTGTATTGTATACTTTATTTTACTCTTTTATTTTTGCAAGCTCCCCCCCCCTCCCCAGAACATATGCTGATGGGTAGCTCCATGAATATGGCAAATGAAATAAAGAAAAGAAATAACTAAAATGTGGACAATATATTATCAAATATTATTGAAACTATGCCCCAAATTGCTAGCTTTTTTCTGGGCCTCTGCATCCCTAATAGCTACCATCAAACAGTTAGAAATGTATTTCCCATCATCAAAATAATGATGATGATGATGATGATGATGATAAACAAAACCAAATCAAACAATACAATTTTAGATTGTATTTGATTAATAAACTAATTTAAGAGTGGCACTTTAATATTCCTCCCCTTAAAACTGAGAAGTTCAAAAAATGATGGTGTGTCTTGAGGTGCCATATTCTCATATGTTGCTTGGTTCTCCTTCAGGTGTCATCAAGTGTCAAAGGAGGTGAAGCTGCCAGTCCAAATGAAACTGTCGTAGATGTGAATATTTTGACTTCACCTACTTTTACTGTCAAGGTTCCCCAAGATCTGGACACTGAGAGTTCAGAATTCATTGAATATGTAGCAGGGAAGGCTTTACAGCTTTACAAAAAGAATTTCTAGGCAAGGCAAGTTGATTGTCTTTACATTTTAAAAAAACAACAACGGTTAAATTGTAATTTGTAAATTTTGTTTTACAGACAGGCTTTCGTTACTGAGAATGGGTGGTTGAAAGCAATCATTTACCACAGGTGCACTTGTTGTGGCAAAAGTTTCCTTAACACTTGACAGGATGAGATGACTAAGCAAGTCCAGCATTAGGGAACACACTGGTAGTTTGGTCATCTGAATGGCTTCTATGCCAGAGTTTATTGAAATACAGCCCCTCTTTGTGTTCCACCCACTGCTTTTTTAGTTACCAGTGGATATACACTCACACAATGGATTCTCTATTTGTGTGGTTATTTGTTTGTGTGTGTGGGAGAGAGAGAGAGAGAGAGAGATGGAGGGAGAAGGCAGACAAAATGAGTTTAGCAGCATGGGACTAGTGGATCTTGCCTGTGTGAGTAGACTCCATTACAGGATGGTATGGCATAATAAATAAAAATAAATAGCCCATTCTCAAGCCTGAACCTCAGGAAGATGGTGACAAAACCAAAGGTTGTTAGATTTTCTAAGTCCAAAGGCCTGATGTTTTCCTAACTAATGTAAATGTCCTGCACTGCTGCTGAGGAGTGAAGAGATGCATTGCTGCAGTGGCATACATTATATCCTTACAACTTTGGGAAGTTTTCAATGTTGGATGTTTTATTGTGTTTTTAATATTCTATTGGGAACCGCCTAGAGTGGCTGGGGAAACCTATTATTATTAATAATAATAATTATTATTATTATTAACATTTAATGATTTTTTTTTAGGTTTGTTATGAAACTTTATTCGTTGTTAAATAATACTATTTGTTTTTGTTTTTTATCTCCCTAGAGAGGAAGAAGTGAACAGTGATTCCTACTTTGAATCCAGCATATTCTCCTTTAGCAAAGTACACCAAAAGTCATCATACAGAAAAAACCTGCAGATGATAAAATGTTTAATAAATGTGTTGAATATCAGTATGAATGTAACTCTTACGATTTCTCTCTGCATTCAGTTAATGAGAGCAAATCTAAAGAGATATAGCTGGTGAATACTGAAAATGTTTCTCCTTAGCATTTGGATTATGTGTCCAAAGAGAGGGGGTAAGAAATACATGCATAGATTTCAGTATTCTTTCCAGTAATGTAGACGTTGGCAGAGGTATTTTCAAAGTATACTAAAGTCCTGAATATGTAGTTCCACTTATTAATGATTTAGATCAGTTTTGCATGTGTGCTCTGGTTAAGGAACCTGCTCTATTTGCTCCCCACACTATACCATAATGGCACGTATCCAAAGCATGGTATCAAGTCTTTACATTGTAATGGCAATGAAAGAATAGGCTGTGTCCTTCTCTACTTGACAGGGTTCACTGTGTAGAGGGTGAAATCGCAGAGAGCAAACCTGAAGTGCACATACAAAGCCATCTTCAATAGTGTATGAATATTCATTTTTTTCATACTTACTCTTTATATTCTTACTTCCCAAATAAACAAAAAATGCATCAACCTCTTATTTGTAGTTTGAATAATTTTATAACTAGAATCAATTCACTCATTGTGGGACCAAGTTATATTTTATGAGGACAATCAAATAGCTACAAATTAACTGTGCAGCTTTTGACTTCTCCAGAACTCTTTATTAGGCTGGTCTAATAAACATATTGTTCTAAGAGGGATTTTGGAAATTTTCTTATAGATCCTTTTTCTCTATTTTGTTTTCACGGCCAAATCCAAGCAATTTCCTATTAAATGAAGAGCAAGTAACTTTATGCAAAATTAATATTGTATTCTTTGTGATATTCAAATAGTTGGACATTGCTGGAACAAGATTTTGAGTTTTACTCAGCAGTGCATCTTATCTGACCGTTCATACATTATAAGAATGCAGGTGCAGTCAATTTTGCGCTTGCGTTTTAAGAATGTAAAACGGGAAACCAGCTGTACTCCATACTGTTATCCAATGTAATCTAAAGGTATGTTCCCTGATATCAGAATATTTCCAATTTCAAAAACTGATTAAGAATCACCATCGTTTATATAAGCTTGAATTTATAAAGTGTGGAAGAGAAAAACCAGTTATATCCACACTACACATGTAAACTATACTTATACCACTTTAACAGCCATGGCTTCCATCAAATAATTCCTAAAATTGTAGTTTACTAAAGGTGTTATTAAGAGACTCCCTCCATAGCTGTCAACTTTTCCCTTTTCTTGCGAGGAATCCTATTCGGAATAAGGGAATTTCCCTTAAAAAAAGGAAAACGTTGACAGCTATGGACCCCTCACAGCACTCCAAAGGAGAGGACCCCAAAATCCAGCCTAATAAGGACTGAGCATGCTCGTTGTAGGGTAACCCCCGTCCCCCCAAAAGGGTACTGCAACTTTCATATTTGTGTAGGCGGGATTTCCGCCGGCACATCTTGTATGGCAAGCTGGTTGACTGTCGACGTGGGGAAATGGAACTGGAGTACCCAGAATGCTGCAAAATCTTGTTGCAGCTCCCATTTGTCCCGCCCAAGTGCAGGACGGCGGCCGCGTATTCCAAAACACCGACCGACTGCGCGGGCGGCGAGAGGGAAACGCATCTCCCTTCAACGAGAGCCGCGGAGGATATAGGAAACGTGACAGCCAATAGCATAGCGGGATCAGCAGCGGTGCCCGCCTCTACATCTCTCTTATTGGCTCGGAGGGGAAATGGGTGGGTGAGCGCGCCAGTTCCGAAGTTGCGCCTCTTCAGAAGCGAGAGGCCCTCGTCGTCGCGCTGGGTTTTCCCGCCCGCTTCCTCGTCGCCAACTCGCTATGCCCGCTGTGGTGACCGAGACCGAAGGCCCTCGCGAGGAGTCCTCCGGCGCGGCGGCGCCGCCTCACGGGGAGCTCCAGTACCTGAGGCAAGTGGAGCAGATCCTACGCTTCGGGCACAGGAAGGAGGACCGCACGGGCACCGGCACCCTCTCCGTCTTCGGGCTGCAGGCGCGCTACAGCCTCCGAGGTGAGCCTCTCCTCCCTCAGCCCCGGCTCTTTTCTTTCCCCCTCAGCAGAAGGAAACGAGGAGACGCTGCTCCTTCCTGCGAGGGGATAATGGCGCCTCTCGGTCCTGTGGAGACGCTCTTTGATACCTAGCAATCCGCAAGCGTAGTGGGACTGACGACACCATAAAAATAAAGCCCTAAGCTTTTTAAAAATGTTCGTTCGTGGGGTTTCTTTCCCTGTTTGAGGAAGGAAGGAATGGACGCCGCCCTGTTTTCACTTCCTCCCAGCAGCAGCAGCAGAGGAAAGACGCCGCGTTTCCCCGCCAAAAACCGGATTATTAACGGCAGAGCGCATTTTGAGTGTTTGTTTATGTTCGCGCGATTATTTCCCTCCCAGCTCTCGACTCCCCGATTTCAGGATTATTGGCACAAGCCAAAAGTTAAATGTCAGAATCATAGCTGTCAACGTTTTCCCTTTTTTAAGGAATCCTTATTCGAATAGGTTCTCAAGAAAGGGAAAACGTTGACAGCTATGGTCAGAATCGTACTATTTCTCTCATCTTGGGGCCGAGGGGTCTTCGGCTCCCCCCCCTAAAATATTTGAGACCCCAAAGTTGATAGGCATTGCCATTCAAATAGTGTGCGTGCACCACGCCATGTGAGCTGACCTGCAACCCCCCATATTTTATTTAAGTTGGCACCCCTGTCATAGACAGTCTGGAGCAATCCAAACCCAGGACTGCTTCTTTTGATCCAGGGTGCTGTAGAGGAAAGGGGGGGTCAAGCTGGGAAGTTGGCCCATCTAGGAGAAGGAAAGCTCTGGTCCTAAACCTCTGCTGCCTTGCGGAATATCTTAGGGAGAAGAAAAGGCTAAGGAGGAAACCCTACACAAATCTGGAGCGGAGTCCCTAAAATGGCTGGATGGCACCTTGTATGCCTCCTTCTGGCAACTCCTGCAGCCAAGCTGGTGCCAGATGTATTGCTCTGCTTTCCTTTGGACCACATCAGTGAAGTCGAGAGGGGGCTCTTGTCTGGACAGCCTTGGATCTCTATACAACACTTGCGCCCCTGGGAGGTCACTTTGGCAATCTGATGCTTCCTGAAAGGGTGTTTTAACAGGTGCATATGATTCGGTAGACTTCCCTGTCTGCTGGCAGTGAAGCCAGAAACAGGATAGGCTGTGAATCCACTGGATTTTGCTGCTCTGATCTTACCACCGTAATAGACCTGGATATGACATAGTAAATTCTCCCACTGGAGTCCATTGGCCAGAAGATAAAAGTTAATGGGGAACAAATAAAACCATAATCCACCTTCCCTTCCACAAAACAATTGGGCTTTGGATGTAACAGTTGGTCTACCATGGATTCTTCTTTTCTCTGCCCCTTCCTACAAATAGAATTGCTCTGATCATATTTAATATATACAGTGGTACCTCGGGTTACGGACGCTTCAGGTTACAGATGCTTCAGGTTGCAGACTCCGCTAACCCAGAAATAGTACCTCGGGTTAAGAACTTTGCTTCAGGATGAGAATGGAAATCGTGCGGCGGCGGCCCGGCAGCAGTGGAAGGCCCTATTAGCTTCGGGCTAAGAACAGTTTCAGGTTAAGAACGGACCTCCGGAACGAATTAAGTACTTAACCCCAGGTACCACTGTACTGATGAATTACAGGTGTTCTCTTATCTGCTCTAACTTTCTTAAAATTTATTTTCAGATAATTTTCCATTGCTAACAACTAAAAGGGTTTTCTGGAAGGGAGTACTTGAAGAACTACTTTGGTTTATCAAGGTATGGTATATAATTGGTATGTACTAGTATGCAGCAATATTCTATGTATTACTTTTAGCTCAGAACTAGTTGATTTAAATTTTTACTGTGTGCTAGGTTTGACAAGGTATGGTGGTCCTTTTTGTGTGTGTTCAAGTCTTCTATATCACCCTTGCTATCTTCCTGTAGTGTTAAAAAACTGCAGAATGTACTATCCCACACACATTTCTGTACAGTACTGCCTTTTTAACATAAATGCTCACAGAATTGCAGAATTGGAACAGCTCCCAAGGGTCATCTAATCCAACCTTCTTCAATGCAGGAAGCTCAGCTAATAATTCTAAGGAATTCTGGAAGTATCTTAAAATTATGTTCTTAATTAACATTAATAAATATTTCTTTTTTTTACCCCACACAGGGTTCTACAAATGCAAAAGAACTTTCTGCTAAAGGTGTTAAGATCTGGGATGCCAATGGTTCTCGTGAATTCTTAGACAAACAGGGATTCTTTTCTAGGGAGGAAGGAGACTTGGGCCCAGTTTATGGCTTCCAGTGGAGACATTTTGGAGCTGAATACAAAGATATGCATACAGGTAATGACACATTCCATTGGTTTCCTGTATTTAGGTATCCTCTCTACTGAAGACAGGATTAACTGCTTAATTGAAAATCCAGTATTCTAGGTACTGAAGAGATTATGGTAAAATAGTGCATTCATGCCTTAAAAGAATACATTTCCCCCTCTACAGTAAACCCCCCCAGTACAGCTGCTCTGGATAAGAATTAATGTTCCTAAAAGATGCCTTTCTGTTCATTTGCTCATTTCACATATTATTGTGGAGATTCTTGGGTAAATAAAAAGTACACAAAAGCATTTAGTACCTTAGCAGAAAGGTTCTAGACATGGCTGCAGAGGGCATGCATATAGCTACTATCACAATCACTTCCTTCTCACAGACTCCCACCTATTTTATGTTAAAGATGTGGTGGGGGTAAAAGGGTGTCAAAAATAGTTCTTCGTCATTCAAGCCACTACCCTCAATAATAGTAAATGGCACACATAAGTTCATATGGAAATCTGCACTGAGGGAACACAATAAGCAAAAAGTTATCATAAAAGTAGTGTGAAGTCATAGACTGAAGGGGCAATATTACTGCAGGTTCTGTGCTTCATGAGCAAGGAAGAAGCAGTAGTACCAGAAAAAGCACTGATGGATTCAACCTTGCTGTGCATTCAGATCCTTTGTGTTTCTTAGTAGAGGAAAACTATCTCACTATTAAGTAGTTTTGTAAATTTTAGTGGGGTAGTATGAAAATAAATTATATGAATTGCCTCCTAAGAATGAGCCTGACAATTGACGGTTTCACAGATAATTAAAAATTTATCAGTTGTCACATTGTCACACTTTTCCTTCCGTATTTTCAGATTACACAGGGCAAGGAGTAGATCAGCTGCAGCAAGTAATTGATACAATCAGAAACAATCCAGATAACAGAAGAATAATCATGTGTGCATGGAATCCTAAAGGTATGGTTATGGAATTAATTATGTAATGTCATTGTACCTTGTAGTTGTGCATGATAATCCTTTTCTCAAAAACAGTGGAATAGCTTGCATATGTTGTTTGTAAACTGACTTCTTGTTGGCTTTTGTATGCCTTGTGGTTATGATCAAAGTAAAATATATTTTAAATGTATTTTTAAATTTAAAAAACACACTCAGCTTTTCTTTATAAAATAATCAACAAACTACTGTGTTCACCTGGGAAAAGGGATTGTTCTCAAGCTGCCACTACAATACTCTACACAAATGTATTAAGAACTGGTCAGTTCTTTAGAATTTTGTTTTAACATTCTTTTTCCGTTTTTGTCATTTTCTAACAATGACACACTGTTGCTATGTTGGGAAATGGTAATTGCTAGTTTACAAAACAAAGCCAATAAGATCATACTGTGGGTGGAATTTTGCCATTGGACATATTGTAATTTTTGCCGTGTTGTTTGCTTCTCAGATATATCCTCAATGGCCTTGCCTCCATGTCATGCTCTATGCCAGTTCTATGTTTTAAATGGTGAACTCTCTTGTCAGCTGTATCAGCGTTCTGGAGATATGGGATTAGGAGTACCTTTCAACATTGCCAGTTACTCATTGCTCACTTCAATGGTTGCCCATGTTACAGGCTTGAAGGTATTTTTAATGCTTTTATCTATTTCCATTTTCAAAATAAAAAATAAATAAACTAGAAAGAATGTAGTAGTATATGAAGACTTTCTAAAATGGAGGGTATATAAATTGAAAACCTGAAAATGTGTACATGGTGTTGAACATCAGAACAAGTTTCATATTTCTTTGACAGTGCAATTGTATACACTTCTCAGAAGTATGCCCTATTAAGTTCAGTGTCACTTGACTCCCTGTTAAGTGTGTGTAGGATCTCAGCCTTCATTATTTGGATGGCCTCTTACTTTAACTATTGAAGAGTCAAAAGTAGCTTGTTGGCGTAATTTGTAGAAAAAGAATTCTGTCAGTGGTTCTATCAGGTCAAGCATTTTATAGTCCAGTGTGCTTGTTTGTATCTGGCTGCCATAACTTGAGAATCGAAAGACTGTTGTGATGTTGCCAAAATGTCCTGAAAGTTAATACAGCTGCTGTTCTAATATTTCTGTTTATAAAAGCTAGTTATGAGGAACTTGGGAAATGTTTGTAGCAAAGCTAAACATCTCATCACTATAATGGATCAAGGTACAGATGTTCAAACTCCATTTCCTGTGCCCCTTGTGAGAAGCACTTGAATTTTCCATGGCTGTAATTCTGCTCTTTGTGATTATACAGCACAGGGTGCAGAGCAACTCCCAGGTTCTGAAAATTCTCCAAAAACTACTTCTATGTAAAGCGGGGCAGATCAGTGCCAGACTAGTCTGCCTGTATCTTCTTGGCATGCTGCGCTGGCTTTTGTTCAGGTCCTCTAGTGCAACCTGTTATTGCTTCAAGTGGGAAAAACTTGTGGGGTTCTGCTCCATCTTGCTGGGAGAGTGCTGCTCAGATGTAGGGTTTCTGTTAGTTGGCCCCAGTGGATTAAGCAAAAGAGTTATGCAAAGAAGGGATGTTGTCATATGGACTTGTAGGAACCATTAAGCACCTTAGTCTCTGTAAACACAGCATACAGGATTGCACCATATGTGGGTGGCTGCTTCTTGAGCCAGTAGAACAATTTATCCCACAGAAAGTCATTAATGTTAACAATTTATAGCTGCTACTCTAATGAGGCAGATATCCACTAGAAAATTATGAACCACAGATTTTATCTAGAGTATGCAAACATTTCTCCTTCATGTGCTTGTGATAGCAGACCAAGGTTATTGTACACATTTATTGTAATGTATTAACTTGCATTCAAACCAGTTCAGAATAAGGAACATAACATCTAATTTTGTGTGTATTAAATGACTTGCTGAGGAATCTGGTTAGAGCAATCTTGCTTAAGAAATATATCAGCATGTACTGGGTGGCCCAAAAGTAGGTATACAATTAATTAATTATTTTTTCCCCCTTTACTGATATTGTGAATGATGAGAACTTGAGTCAAGAACAAAGAATGTGGATTTTAAAGCAGTATACCTACTTCTGGGCCACCCTGTATATTCTTGTTCATTCTGTTTCTAATATTAAGGCTGTGTTTCTTTTTTATATAGCCTGGCGAGTTTATACATACACTAGGAGATGCTCATATTTACCTGAATCATATCGAACCTTTGAAAATCCAGGTAAATAGTTTGGCAAATAGCCAGCCTTACTACTCACACTGTGTATTTCCTTCCATAGCTATATATATATTGAATTAGTTCAATCTTGGAGTTAAAGGAATGATGGAATGCATTACTCATAGTGCTTGTCATTTGCTTAATAATATAAGAACTGCTGAACATGACCAATACATTATGGATGTGATCTCCATGGGCTTTGAGTGGGTTGAACACAGCTTACTAAAAGGTGAAAGGCTGTGCAGTTTACTGGACTGTTCACATTTCTGCAAGTGCTGGAGACAAAACAGGCACAATCTGGCCAAAATGTGACTTTAACATCAGCTGTTCTCCAGCATTGACTAATTGGGCTTATATTGGAGCATTTGTGGGTAGATATAGCAGCAGCAGAGCAACTACTGGCCATTATGTGTGCAGTTGATATTCCTAATCAAGTATAATGTTTAATTATACAAGTATTAACATGAAATTTGTTGCTAAAGTGAATACCCCTTGCATAATTAGTCTATTTTATATGAATGCCATCCCTCTGAAATAACCAACTCTACTTTAAAATTTCAGCTTCAGAGGCAACCAAGACCTTTTCCAAAACTGAAAATTCTTCGCAATGTTGAAAACATCAATGACTTCAATGCAGATGACTTTGAACTAGAAGGTTATGATCCTCATCCAGCTATTAAAATGGAAATGGCTGTCTAGGTGACTTGTAACAGTGTTTACTTGCCTTAAGGTCCAATTTGCAGTAGTGCCCTTAGAAGAACCATATTTTGACTTTCTAAATATTAGAAAATACTAAAGATATTTCGTGATAAATTATCATGGTTTTCTTATGGAGTTTGAAGTATGCACTGTATCCAATGAAATACTCTCTCCCCGCCCCCAGGATACTTTTTTCAGCTTCACTTGCTGTGAGAGGTTAACTTTCTAGGTTGTATAATAGAAAAGCACTTTCTACAATTTCTGAACTATGCAATAAAATACACATACATTACTTTAGTACATATGTGTTATGTAAATCACCTGTATTCTATTACCATAATTTACATAGGTTTCAAGTTTACCTGACAAGGTAATAAAAGGGAAGGGGATGCTGTGTAAAATATGGAACAGTTGGATAAGTAGTTGGCAATTGAATAATAATAATATGCCAAGCCCTTCCCCCACATTCTAGGCTATCAAATAGAAATGATATTTCATTGGGAAGACTTCTGTAGTTCCTAGTAAATTGTAGTGATAACTTCCAGTGTCTCCTTCCATTGTAGTTATGGCAGAAGGTGAAAGCAGCAGCCTCTTCCTCCTTTATGAGTAATTTTGTATGTATGATATACCCTATACACCACTTCCCCCACCTCCGACATTCCTGAAAACATCCTTAGTATATATGACAGAACAAAACACAGCATCTAGTCATCGTTTCTTTATTTGAAACTTCTAAACTCAGCAGATGCACATTCAAAGTGCAATCTTGCATTATATAATCCTGTAGTTCCTGGAACAGTGTCAGGAAAAATGAATCATGTACCCTTTCATCTTAACTATTAAAAAGGCTCTTTTTTTTCTTAAAGTGATTGGGAGTTCTATAGTTGGGGCTGCAATCTATTCTTGTTATGTAAGTGGAGGAAAGCTTTCTAAAAGCATTAATTTGAATCCGAAATCATCTTGTAGCTTCAGCAAAACCAACCATTTGTTGTGGTAAATATAGCTCTGGGGAGTTTAAACCTCACCCTGAAAACTTTCAGTGTTTAAGCTTATTTTAGCTGTATTTTATGTTCACAGAGGAGCTTCTGCCAGACTTCTCCTTGTGGAAACTGGTATTTCCTTGCAGAATCTTCTTTCATTTCAGTGGAATATCCAGCTGCCTGAAAGAACGAATTATTATTATTATTATTATTATTATTATTATTATTATTCCCATTTCATATAAAGATCACAGGGCAGTTTATAGGATAAAAACACAAATACTGTAACGTAGCACAACAACAGACAAATTTAAAAGGTCATAGATTGTTTTTTTCTATTTAAAACATTCCTCTTCACCAGAGGTGATTAAACAATCTTGCACCTTTGGCTAACTTGCAGCACTTAGGAAACAGGAAGCATGACTAAAGCTGTAATGGAGCTATATCATAGTAGGAGAATAGACACTGCAAGAAGAACAAAATCCCCATTTTTCTTGCTGCCTGATCTTCTACTTGCTGTGGGGTGAGAAAACAAATATCTGTGTTGGCCACACCTACTCTGACATAGAGACCTCAGAGGCATGACTAACGTTCGGTGTGACTCTTGGGTGAAAAAGATTAGCCACCTCATAATATGTTCTAGCTACTGAAGACAATTTTCATGTAAACTAGTGCATAGAATTAGCCTTAAACATCTTCAGGTTGTATATCCCCACCTCTACTTTGTCACTATTTTGGCAGGTCTGCCTAGAAACAAGCTAGTATGATACAGAACCTGTTAACTTCTGTATAGGTTGCGAATATATTTAGCAGCAACTTACGTATTGCATTCAATAATGCATTTTGGTTTGTGTTTTGCATTAATTGGGCATAGCGTTCACTAGGTTATAGTGAACAAAAATTAATGCTAACATCTGGAAGCTTACTCAAGGAACCTTAATTTCAATAGTAAAATTGTAAATACAAAGCAGCCATATATTTTGTGGATTTGCAAAATCTTCTTGAACACTGCTTCAGCAAGAGCCCTAATCCAAACTTCAGAAGCTGTCCCGAGTCTCCTTTATGGGTGGGGAACAGGATCCTGTTAGCAGAACCTAAACTTGCCCACTCCCTACAGGTGTATGGGGCCATCTACCTGTCAATCACCTGATATTACCATGACACGGCGACCAAATCTAGCCTGTGGGCTGTTTTAAAACAATGACAACTTGCACATGCTGTGGATAGGATATATGTGGATTTCCCTCTTGCTTCCATTAAAGGTTTGAGGAAATACTTGCATTCTGGGAGCACTGAAAATATTCTGGGGGTACAAATACCTGCGGCGGCATATAGGATGCATTCTTGATTACTACAGGGTACTTGAAGTGTTCATGTAGATGGTCAACATATTCACACATCCTGAAAGGAAAACATTGGTTCACTAGACCTTTTTAAAGTCCTACCAAAAAATAAAGTTATTTCATAATGACTCCAGTTTAACAAAGAGTATTACATTCTGACACAAAGGCTATTTGAGTATAATGTTAACTTAAATTTGTTGGGCTACCAGGAAATATGTAAAGTGAAATACTGAGCTCCTAATAATGGAAGGAGACCATTGTAACCCAGTAGGTTTACCCCATCAAAAAATATTATAAATAATAAATTGAGTGTTGTAGCTTTTCACTGTGATAACGTTAACTGCTGCATCAAAATAAAGCCAGCTTGGAGCAGAAATGAATAGCATGGGGGGTGGGATTACTTCTGAGCTCCATCATTGCAGTGCTGTACATTTTAGTTACATACAGAAATATATAGGGGGAAATACAAAACAAATATTACAAAACACTTCAAGTACTATATCAACACACAAAGAGAATGTATGATGTTGGCAAAAGGCTGTTATTCTGAGAAGTTGCTGAAGATGGAATGGACACCCCACCAATTAGCTGAGTGGTGATTTCACTGTTCATTCCAGTAATAGTATACTGATAGCCCTGACAGCATAGTAAGTTAATTGTAATATTGTAATATTTTTTAAAAAGAACATTGGGGTGGGCAGGTAATCGATCCCGTAACTGTTGAGAAATACATGAGAGTATGATGGCAGGTTTGCTAAGTAAACAAAGTTTTAGAAAGACTTCAGACTATGGCTGGGATTAACAACAAGGGTTAAAGGGAGGGATAAAAATGAAAACCAGGGCTACGGTTGTGGCAAAGGGTAAAGCTTTATCCTGAATTTCTCTATCAAAAAGATCATATGTATGATTGATCAAACACCAGAACCTAGGCATCGGGTCCAAGAGTCAAAAGCCAAGACTCTTGGAGACTGTTCCAATAGGGAAGAATCAGATAAATACTACTACTAACCTGTTCTCAAGGCTACCAGATATTGAAATGTAGTCAAATATTATCAAGTGCTGTACCAGCTCACAGAGCCCAACCCCTCCAGCATGAGGACACACAGGGACTGAAAACAAAGGATATAAGCTGCATTAGCACTGCTGACAAGACAACACAACTTGTCATCCCTCTAGCCTAAAATATGCTTTGTGGCACTTAATTCATTCCTTTAGCCTTTTAAAAATATATTTATCATAGATGATTCCGGGAAAAAGCCAAACTCCCCTAATACTACCTACTTCTGCTATTAAAAAAATCACATAAAAATCATGCTTACATACAGAAAACCAAATGCTATGCCAGCAGGAGAAATGACCAGAAAACACACCTAGTACTTTTACAGCAGAATTTTCAAGAGCCTTACCTTGAAATTTCTTGGCCATCAGCAGCACAGACAAGTTTTCATTGACACTGCCCAACCTGCAACTATCCACCTGGATGTAACTCAAGGCCTGAGCCTGCAGGAGCTGCTTAAATATCACTCTGTTATGGCACTGCAGATGATGAAAAAAAATTGCTTAGCCCAAATAAGATCAAAATATTTGAAGGTTAGCTTAAAATATATAGAAACGACAGCATTTTATTATAGAGACTATGCTGTTGTTGCCTTTTAAAGCAATGCATATTGAATTTCTGCATCCTAAAAAAAAACAGCTGAAGAGACAACTGAAAAGATTCTGTGCCCTGTTCCATATGAAGGCTTTAAATTATATGAGGAATGGAACAGGGTGTTATTTTTAGCAATGCACACTCATAAAACAAACGAATACAGTTGTAATTAACATATCTAAGGTGACTGCCCCAAAGAAGCATGCATGCATATTTAAATACAGTGGTACCTCGGGTTATGTACTTAATTCGTTCCGGAGGTCCGTTCTTAACCTGAAACTCTTCTTAACCTGAAGCACCACTTTAGCTAATGGGGCCTCCCACTGCCGCGCAATTTCTGTTCTCATCCTGAAGCAAAGTTCTTAACCCAATGTTTTATTTCTGGGTTAGCGGAGTCTGTAACCTGAAGCGTCTGTAACCCGAGGTACCACTGTATAAAATACATAGCACTTCAGGTGTGCTAAAACTGGTTTCTTGACAATTTTGATTTGTTCCATTTTTTTTCCTTAAATGACAATTCAGTAAATATACTTCCATAAGTTGTTTAAATTTTAAGTAGTAGTACAAGGAAATATTTTCCAAGCAAAGCTTTGAATGTAACATTTTATCACAATTGTCACGGCTCCTAAGATAAGTTAGCATAATTTTTTTTAAAGAGAGTTTCCTCCCCACAGATCCATTCCACATAGTTCTGGCACCACCATCATCCTAGCCCTCCAGAGATACTTTTTGTAGGAGAATGAAGGGGACAGGAAACTTTCCTTCCATGAATTTCCTTAAGGTTGCAGTATGTTCTTCCCTGGGAGAAAGTCCCATTGAATTCCAGGGGGCTTACTTCCAATTAGACATCTATTGCATTGCTCTGTAAATTAACTTTGGATCCCTAGCTGACAGGCACACTTTATTTGGTGCTTTCTCATAAACAAATATTTCAGTTCAAGGAAATGTGATGGGAAGATTTTACCCAATCACTCATTTCAGCAAAGTTCGATGGAATGGCTTCCAAGACAACTAATATAAAATAAGACATTTATAAGGAAACTTACTTGTTCTCCTGTTGCAACACCAATCCCTAATGGCGCTAAAGCCTAAAAACAAGAACAGCTTGTGACATGCCATAGGTTTCTGAGTTTTTCCAAATCCAGATATTCACAGGGGGGAAACAAAATGTAATGGTTCAGCAATCATTTCATACAATTAGAAGAAAGCTAAAGGAAATGATAGAATTATTAGCACAGTTGATACTTTATTTGCTTAATCAATTAGGTGTGAAGAATTACATAAGCGGGTGTGTGCGACCATATGGAATATCCTTGGACTGTAACTGAGCACAGTTATGCACACAAATCCCACTGAAATCAATGGTGCTTAACCATTACTAACTTGGTGCTGGATTTTGGCTATGGTGTACATGCGAGACCACTGGTGCTCTAATAAGTTTTGATCACACATCCTTGGCTAGTATTATATTTCTCATATAATTTGAACTTCAGGCCAAACATATTAAAGAGTGCTTGAATCACATGCATTTTAGGAGCATTGCTGGTTGGCTTGCACACGGATGTATATATTTTTCAGTCTTTTATTAGCCTTCACAAATATGTTACTCATTTAAAGTTTAATGGAATATATGCTGCATGTGTGACAGGATATTGTAGCAAGTAGATGTTAATGACTTTTGACAACTGTTTGAGCCTGAATTCTGAGTGTTCTAAAGAAAACCACAAGTCAATAAATCATCAAAGTTCTCTGTTATGTAGAGAGTCCAATGCCCTGATTCCGTTGGGACAAAACATAAATCCTAGATCTACATTACGTTGTCATCTCACCAAAATGGAAAACAACTCCTCTGACCTTGGCAATGGTTGCGTGCCCAAGAATATCGTCAGGGGAAGTTGGTTCCTCGATCCACAGTGGCTTGAATTCAGCTAGTTTTGTGACCCATTCTATGGCTTCTTTCACTTCCCATCTTTGGTTAGCGTCCAGCATCTGAGAATAGTTACAGACTGCATTCACTCAACTATGTCATTGAACTCAGTGTTGTAACAATGGTAATGTTGATTTTAGACAGATGGAAAGTAAGGAGAATTTGAGTCAAGCTTTTCTTATGACACATGCTAGGTTCATGCTGCTGAGGTGTTAAACAATTTGAATCATCTAGTATCTGCTGGCTAGCATTTTCTATTGAAGTAGGAAGAAATAATGTACCCAATTCTCCAAACTACACATTTATTCTAAAGAAACAAAGTCCTAATTAACTATGACCAACACAGGACTCAAATGTAGTGAAAAATCCTAGCAGTTATGCTTTGGCTAAGACTGCAGTCCTGTGCATGCTTCAGTCGGACTTGCTTGCAAGTAAATGCACACAATGTGTTAACCTTATTACAATGAATAAGAAAACAAAATACAATACAGTGGAACCTCGGGTTGCGAACGTGATCTGTGTGGGAGGCATGTTCGCAACCTGCAGCGCCATGTCTGCGTACGCATGGGTCGCAATTCTGTGCATGCGCAAAGCGCAATTTAGTGTTTCTGCGCATGTGCGAGTGCAGAAACCTGGAAGTAACCCGTTCCGATACTTCCGGGTTCGGTGCGGTGCGCAACCCGAAAACGCGCAACCTGAAGCGTCTAACCCGAGGTACCACTGTACTAAAGATAGTGCCTGAAGAAAGTTTTGGAGGGCCACATAACTAAAATGTATATTTTTAAACATTAAGTTCATCAAAGCTGATTCCAAAAAATAAAGAGACTCAGATTTGTCAGTATGTGCAAAGCAGGCTTCCTCAACCTCGGCCCTCTAGATGTTTTTTGGCCTACAGGACCAGTGGTCAGGGATGATGGGAATTGTAGTCTTAAAACATCTGGAGGGCCGAGGTAGAGGAAGCCTGGCCAAAATCAATGGCTGGTTACTTTCCACCCCAACATAGGGATGGATTCCAACCATCCACATGATTGACAGTGACAGGCAGCATGATATTACAACAAAACATAGCCCTAGATATGTGATATATACCAGTATATTTTCAGGACCAATCATTTCTCTAACAAGTCTACATCTCCGAATGTCATCCTGGAGATCCGCTCCAACTTTTACTTTGAACCTAGGGACACATTTGTAATAAAATTAAGATGGCTAAAAGTTTGTAACAGCTTTTTTCTTCTTCTATGATCACTCATTTCTTTTATCTTTTATGTAACAGCATAAAAATGAGAACTGGACAAGGGCTAGCTCTTCAAGGCTAAACTGAGTCTTTGCTCGCCTAGAAGGAGATAATATAGACTCAGTTTAGATTGGGGCAGAATTAATTTGTTTTAAACTGGCCCATCATGTACTCTGTAACTTGTTGCAGGCCTAGAAGACTTCTCTCCCACAATATCCTTGTAAAACACACCCACAGGAACTCAAGGAATTAAGGCCTCCTACTCCTAGACTCTCTAAAAGCACTCCTGATGCCCCTTTCTACTTTCTCCCACAATTTATCATGAAATGTTACTTTTTAAGGCCTGCTTCAGGAGCCTTGATTACTTAACTGCTGTAGTAACAATGTTCTGAATGCAAGGATCCCAAGTTCTTAGAAATGATCTGCAAAGTGTGAGAAACTATATTTCCCAGGAGTCTTGGTGCCCACAATGTTGCTGCCACTTAAGACTTCTGAAGGAACAGCCTTTCTTACAGGCACCTCTTCCAGGTGTGTGTGTATTTATATTTTGAAAGAATGGGAAATGGGTGTCTGTGGCACTGAGGAACGCTGTTGTTAAGAGATGAACTAATTGTGAACTGAGACTGAACTTGTGAAAGACTGGGTTTGGGCTCAGAATTAGCCTAGGAGTTCCAAACTGGAAAAGTTTATACTCTACTCTCCAACTCTGAACTTCAGAAGCAATATGAACAAGAACAACTGTTGTTGTGTAAAAACATCTCATGTAAATCCATGCCAACTGGTGGACTCGGTGATATGTGAGCATGAGTAACTTGATGTAGGACTGAGTCCAATGCCCTGATTCAGTTAGGGTGAAACGTAAATCCTAGATTGACGTTCTAGGTTGGTTTCTGTGTGCACTGGAGATACAGCTTGCCTCCACTACACATGTATGCACATGCTCAGATACTCCTGCAATGCAGAACAAAGGGACCAGCTGTGCTGCTCACCTGTTTGAGGTGCAGAAAGACAGTCATTTCTTCTTTCTTTCAGCCCAGCAATTGAGCTGAGCTGTCAAAGCTGACGGCAACAACTTTGCTGTAGTGGTTGGTGGTCCTCACCTGATCGCCCATCACCTGTGTTGCTGCTTCTCACCAGGAGGGTGGGTATGTGGGATATGGCAGTTAAGGTCTGTCCAGTGCAAACGCACACACTGCTGGTACCATGCAGGCCTTGCCCCTGCCTTGCCCCTACCCCCTACCTCCCAGGAAGCGAAAAAAAATGAAGGCAGCAGGTGGTCAGATGAACTACCAACCATGACTGCAACTTTTGGATGTAGTGCCTGTTAGAATTCCTCCTCCGTGATTGCAGTCATAGGATTGTTGTCTATCACATGACGGTGTATGTTTTGACTCCACAAAGTGGGAAGTGACGGAGACAGGATGTTTGTGTTACTGTGTTCTGTGATGTGGGACTATTGTCCTTCATTATCTCTCCTTGCTGTCTGATGCTAGAGAGAGAGGGAGCCATGTTGCAGTGCTCCGTGCGTGTTTATATTTAAATAAAGTAGATTAGCCAAAATGCTGAGTTGCTGAGGTCTGTTATGCCAACTGCGAATACTCTGCAGATCCCTAAGTGTGTTGGTGTCTGTTGGCATTGGTTGCTGTGATGTTCGGGCTGAAAAAAAGCCTTTGAAGCTCCCGAATGAACGACCAGGAGGGAGAGAACATGCCAGTCAGGCATGTGCCTCTGCCAGGGTCCTACTCGAGTGTAGGATGAGCTCCTGACAGTGCCTGTATGTACATAAAGCAGCAATTGTGTAGCCCACTTTGGAAGCAAATCAATAACTTCCTGACAAACCAGAACTTGCCTGTTATGTATATCTTATAAAACTAGAAGTGAAGTATTCAATATAAATTGACTATACCTGGTCCAACCATCCTTCAGCGCTTCAGTACAAAGCTGCCAAGAAAGTTACATCTGTCACACACATACAGTACACATGAGCAACCATTTGTACAAAAGGACTCTTAGCCGAACCGTCAGAATCTGTTGGTTTTATTGTCTCGTCTTTCATAGCAGTGTATTTCACAGGTTAATAGTGAGTTCACTCGCTTAGCGTGATTTAAGATTTATTGCTTTTTAGGTTCACCGGTCTAGAGCCGCCTCTGCAAAACTGGTACCCTCCAAATATTTTGGAATGCAACTCCCATCAGCCTCAGTCAACACAGTTATGCTGGCTGGAGCTGATGGGAGTTGTATAGTTCAAAAACATCTGGAGGGCACCAGGTTTGCAAAGACTTAAAAAGCAGGGAGTGAGAAGAAATTGTCATTTCACACAATCCCTGTATGTGTACAATACAAGTGTGTCTACCCACACAGAATGCAGAATTGAAGGGAGAGTCTATCCTGGGAGATCTATCTGTCACAAAAGAGGGGCAAATGGATCATGGGAGCAATATCTACTTAAACCGGCGTTACCACACATGGACCATGATTCATATAAATTGTTCTATGCACAGAAGGAGAAAGAACAAACCCTTTAAGACTTGTTTCCATATCCCACCCACATAAAACAGCCAGGGAAAATTGGACAGATTTGCCCATCTCTGCAATTTCGTTCCCTCTCAGTTTCTCGTTTTTAGTCCTAAATTCAGTTCTCCACATTTCAACACTTTGCAATAATAATAAAAAATCCTTGTGAAAATCCAACAGCATTAGTGCACGTCTCCTAATTTACACCTTTTTGTATGCAATCATGCCTAGAGACATATTTTTGTAAAGCACTTTCCCCTGAAATAATGCATTTCTGAATGCTATTTTTATTAATACATGCATTTTTATGGACACAGTATCCCAGTATATGCATTTTTGCACACATTACTTGGTTTTAAAAGGTCTGAACGGTGGCTGTGTTTCCATTTGCATATTATTTTGGAAACTCTGCATTAGCAAAGTTCGTATTTTAATGCAAACTGGATCAAATTTCTCCTCCATCCCTAGTGTGAACCGGTCTAAGAGCAACAGTGACCCATGTGCATGCCAAAAAAATGACAATATCTGACAGCTACATTTGAAAATGGAATTTGCTTCTGACTCTTCCTCTGTACTGCCTAAAGCAATTATGTTTGCTCATCTTTTGTGCATCTGAACTCAAAGCAGAAGTCTAAACGGAAAGAGTGCGGAAGAACCAAACCTGTTTCAGTTGTTGGTCTGGATAGCCTAGCCAAGCACACGATGTGGTATAAGCTGGGTAGCCGCATTCCAACATTTGTTCTTCTACAAAGAGGCAGAACGTCACCACCAGCAATTTAAATGAAATTTCCTTGCAACAGAATCACTACCCTGGGAAAACACATCTGGATTCCCTACAACAACTGGACACTAAAGTAAAAATGTTTTAAAAGACCTCTAGGATGAATGAAAAGCCTGGATTCCCACAGGGTCATTTCCCACTGCTTTGCCTGTAAGTAGCTAAGAGTTTCCAAATGCTGCCTTTAAAGAAGGGTTGAGGAACCACCATTTGTTGTTGGATTCGCAACTCTCCTCATCGCCAGCCAGCATGGCCAATAGTCAGGGAAGGTGGGAGTCCAACAACATTTGGAGGGCCACAGACTCCCTGTTTTAAGAAGAAAGAAAAAGAAGGCTATGTCGCTATGCATGTGAGACATCAGTGGCCGTTTCCCATATCAAGTTTCAGAATAACCTTTTGGGAGTCAAACTAATAATCAACTAACAGCAGAAGGAAGGGTTGTTCTGCTTACCTCTTTGTTTTTTCCCCACTAGGCCACTTTGAAGGATTGCTAGTGAAATGGAAAGAGAAAGCACAATGTTAAAACCAAAATGCAATGTCATTCCTATCTTTATTTATAAAGAGTGCTATTTTTATAAAGCAAAATTACATGGAAGTGCACTTGCTGTACAAATAATTACAGGGTCTATACTCTGAGCTGTTGTTACACTGAAGCCTAAAGAATGAGCCATGAAGTACAGTTCACAGTTTAAACCTCTGCTTAGTCACAGATTCACTGGTGGCAGGGTGTCATAGGTAAGCCATTCATTTTCAACCTCTGCATTTTCAAAACCTCCCCATTTGGAAATAATAATAAACATAGTTTTATTCTTTATACCCCGCCCTTCTGGCTGGGTTTCCCCAGTCACTCTGGGCAGCTCCCAACAGAGGACTAAAAACAGAATAAAACTTCAAACATTTAAAACTTCCCTAAACAGGGAAGAGATGGTTGTAGTGGGCTGCTCTAAGAATAGTTTAAAAGTTTACTGAGCTAATGGAGGTAAAGCACATTAAGTACAGTGGTACCTTGGTTCTCAAACACCTTGGTACTCAAACAACTTGGAACCCAAACACTGCAAACCCGGAAGTGTTACAGTTTGCGAACATTTTTCAGAAGCCAAACGTGCTCCGTTTTGAGTGTCTGTCTGGTTTTGCTATTTATTTTGTGTTTTTGTTTTTGTGCCTTTTTTGTTTTGTTTTTGTGACTGTGTGGAACCCAGTTTAGCTACTGATTGATTGTGTGACTGCAATACATTGTTTATTGCTTTCATTTTATGGATCAATGGTCTCGTGAGATAGTTAAATTCATGTTAAATTGCTGTTTTAGGGGTTGTTTTTAAAAGTCTGGAACAGATTAATCCATTTTGCATTACTTTCTATGGGAAAGCAAACCTTGGTTTTGGAACTGACTTCCAGAACGGATTACGGTAAGTTTGAGAACCAAGGTACCACTGTACTGAGAAAAAGCACTCCTGTTACTAATTACTGAATATTAAATTTCCGGACTTGGTTAACAGAACGAAATCAGTAGGGCTAACCTAAAGTAAGTGAATGTAGGTTTTGCGGCCTATAAAAATAACTTACTGAGAGCTTCTTCTTCTGTCAAGGCATCTGTAATATATCTGAAATCTATGCAAGATAACAACTGTTTGGGATCCTGGTTAGGAAAAAGGAATCAAATTGTTGTATTATTTGAGAAGTGAAACACCATGTATGATTAACCCAGTCCAAGAGACATTTTCCATGCACAGAAACAGGTTTGTGTGTTCAGAGGTCTGTTGATGCATGCCCACCCAGAGTCACTAATCACATGTGCACCTTTGCTGGCTGTGACCAGAGCAAGATCTGAGCCACAACGTCCTACTCTGGAAATATCCTGGCACCTTACAATGGTGGAAGCAAAATAACAAAAGGACCAAGTTTGAAACCAACTGTGAGTTTCAATGCCGATATTGTTGCACACATACAAAGCACACCGATGCTTTTCTGTACTCTCCCACTGGGTGGCATTGGTTGAAGTTCGAGAAGTTTATTGTGCTAGCTGAAGGCCAGGACAAAAACCATATAAACACAAACAATAAAAATATAGAACAAATCCTCTGCTTAAACCAACAAAACAATGCAAGGGCAGCATTGGTAAAGTGGAACTTTGCTCAGCCAGGGGTGTAATCTGATGTGGCACATGAATTGAAAACCACTGATCTTTAGAATCTGGTTTGTATAGACATAGGACCTCAACACAGCAAACATTCATTGAGAAAGCCCTGTGCATAGAGGCAAATGCAAACAAGCAGCATAACAAGCTGCAGAATTGACATTCAAACGAGTAACCTGATGCAACAAATACCAAAACATGCAGGCTGTACAATTTTGGATGTGGATCATGTATATATATTAGCCTCTTGGAATAAGGACCTGTCAAACTTGTTCTTTATAGAGTGCTCTGTATATAGATGGTGCTACAGGAAAACAAATAATGAAAATACGCTAGATTCCTTTTTGAGGACCAAAATAGTACACAAATTTAAATAGCTATTTGCTTACTTTTCTTTGATTACTTATACCTCAAATGTTTAGTGATATCAATTTACACACCAACCAACTTAAAAATAACATAAATATAGATTTCTATTGTAATATTGACAATCATGGCATTTCTTTCTTACTGCACTTTTTTTAAAAAATGAGCACTATAAATGCCAACTAACATCTGGTATAGCATTTGTTCATGGACAATTGTTTGCACAGCAATGCAGGAAGCACAGAGATGGCAAGTAAACTGTGTAGTCCACAGGACTCAGAAGACTTTGTGGATTTTTGCCACAAACTATTTAACTAGTGAAAGGTCGTAATTTGTAACCATAGCTTTATACCATTACTTTAGCACAGCAAGGACATGAATAAACAATTACTAATACAGTTTTTTTTCTTACCATGTCAACAAGCAGTTTCCAGAGTGGCTTTAAAAAAAATGAGAGAGAGAGATTGAAATATTTAAAGTTGCTATGTCAGGTCTGAGGGAGGGGAGGTCTGTTGTTGGACTCCAAGTCCCATCAGCTGCAGCCATGACTGACAGCCTGAGATGATAGGAGATGTATTCCAACAAAATCTGAAGGGGGACAGATTTTCCTCATCCCTGTGTTTGAACACTTATAGCAGCTGTTAGGGTAAATGAACAGGTTACAGAAAGACAGCTGCTTATATTCTTTGACATGCGAGCCAGGAATTGTTATGAATTGGTGCTCAGATTCCATTAAGTACAACACCTGCATTTTGCAACTGGATGATACTAGTCATTTCTGTTAACATGCTCTCTGCAGGGGCCCAGGATGCTGAATGCACAGGTTAGAGGCTGCTTGCTTTCCTCTGACAGGCTGGCCAAGGTGATGAGGGGCTTTGCCCTGACTCTGTGGCTAGTTCCCCAGTATTTTAAGGAGCACCTCTGGATTTTTCTTACACTCTGCATGTATTTGGCCATGCAGATACACTCAAGCTCAGATGTCACTGTGGTAGCAGTCAATAACAGAATGCATTATGGGAACTAACAAGGCATTTCCATTTGGATACTTTGAGCTGATGCAGCCTAAGAATACTGGCAAGGTATGGAGTGCTACAACCTGCCATCTGTTTGCTCAACCTTTGCCTCTCATGACTATTGAGAACTGGCAGGCCTGGGCAGCTCAGTTGGTTACAGCATGGTGCTGATAATGCCAAGATTGCAGGTTCAATCTCTGTATGGCACAGCTGCATATTCCTGCATTGCAGGGAATTGAGCTAGATGGTTCTCAGGGTCCCTTTCAGCTCTACAATTCTATGATTCTAGGAGAGAGATGACTGAGCGTCTCAGCTGCCTTGAAGGAGGTAGAGATGCAACCATGCCTTGGAACTGATCGCTGCTGTCAGTGAGCCCCTTTGAAGATGCATTTTTACTGGAGAAGAGTTGGTGCAAGAAGACTGGAAAAAGTTTAAAGACTATTTACAGAAATACTGTAAAATTAATGAATGTTAGAAAAATGTTGGAATGAAGTTATATGGCTTTAGTAGAAATGTTATAAGGAATTAAGTATAAATAGATTAATAGAGTATTAAAGGAAAAAATAAGGTTAGAATGTGTTAAGATAATTATAGGATAGAAAACAGGAAGATGGAAAGGAATTGCTGAAACAATTAACAGAAGTGGAATACAAAAAGGGAGGTGTGAGGAGGTCGTGGAAATAAGTGAATGAAAGATAAGATATTGAAATTGTTTGATGTGTTTTAAACTGTTTTTGTTTTGTTTTGTTAGTTTAATGTGTTAGTGTTATGTAATGCTTTTGTATTGTATTGTATTGTTTTTGTAGTGTTTAAATTGTTGGAAAAGTAATAAATATTATTTTCAAAAAAAAAGAAGATGCATTTTTACCTCAGTCAGCTGATTGGTGCTAACAGCACACCTTCAAACAGCTCGCTATGAGCCCTGCTATGTCCATTTGAAGGTATGGTTTGCACCAGTTCTGGCTATTCCCACTACTGGCTCCAGTCATGACCACTGGTGGGCAACACCCACCCACCACACGTGTGTCTCTTGAGGGCAAATCCAAATGATAGAATATCAATGATATAAATACATCAGCCACCTGAAATTAGGAAAAGTCCTACCCTTCCATTCATGGAAAAACAGAATAGTTGGGAGGTGGACTAAACTGTGATAGTCTTGTCCACTTGTTTCCAATTCATTACCTTCCCTTCCTGTTTGGCCCACAAGTCCCAGACCGCATTCAGAATAGCAGCCGTGGCTAAATGCACAGCTCCTTTCTCAGGACCAATCTGTCAACAAAAGGATGTCGTCAATATATTATGGTAGCCATGAAGAGATAAGTATGACAAGACTCTCCCAAAAGGCCTACAAGGTATCTAAAGCATTTAGAATAATCTAGCTAAGGCAGCCTCCTTGCTTGAAAGATATCAAGAAAAGGTTGAGCAAGGATATCCTTTTATGGAATAAGCAGCTACATGTCTCCTTGCAGTTCTGTAAGCCTATAATTCTTGGTTCCCAGACTTGCTGTAAATACATATTTGTATGGAAGCAAACAGTGAAGGGGAGTTGCATGATACGTTAAGCCAAACTACCTTGGAGAGAGACTGCAAACCCTGCAGGCTCCCAAATAGATGTTTCACAACCACTTTGTTCCTCCCTGGTCAATTTTACCACCATGCAAATATATGGTTTAGCACGCCCTCTGAACAGGGACTCCTGGTTAAGTTCTCTCCTCACTAACTGTAAGCTGTAACCAAGAACAAACCTTGCCTCACCAAGCGAGCATAAAACTTACCCGCTTGCACTGAGCTTAGCTCTGCCCATCACAGAAGCAAAAAGGACTGGGGAGGAATGAAGTGGTTGAGCACTCCTCTCCAGGATCCCACACATTCTTGGTAAGTCAGAGTTTGGCTTTCCATGTCATGCAAATCAGCCCTTTGAGATTTAGATAAATTGAGGTCAATTATATTCCAAGGTGTATTAAAGTACAGCTGGTATTTTCCAGCACACCCAGCACAAACATATACATAGGCTTGTACAAAACCATAACATGATGGGCGCATCTCACTTAGCAATGTCCCTGCATTGTTTGGGGTTAGTACAATAGTGGCATTTTGTGAATATTTGTTGAAAATGTGTAAGTCAATAAACGGGGCTGAGTGAGAGCATGTGACGTTGCCACGAATACAAGAATACAAGCAATGTTGAACCTAAGTCTTAGGTTGCACCAAGTCAGATCTGCTTTACTTGGTAATACATGTCTGATGGCAGGATCAATACCTACCGTACTGGCCCAAATATAAGCCGCACTTTTTTTTCCAAATTCCGAACATGAAAAGTTAAAAGTGCGGATTACAAAAATTGGATTTTACAGTATCGTTGCTGAAACAGACATACGGTAAAATGGAACAAAATTTTTTTTTTGCCAATTTGTGAGCTTGAGACTGTTCATTTATGATTTACAGGAGTGAGTGCTTGTGGAATTGTAGCAACTGGACAGCAATTTGCGATTTTAGCAATTGTATGGTAACTTTTGCAGGCTTGCAAGATCAAAGGCTTAAATTGGCTTGGAGTTACAATTCTACCAACTGCAGTGATTTTCAGCCTGTAACCCAATTTTAAGGGAGTAGCTTATATTCGGGTATTGTATTTTTTTTCTTTTCCCCCTTTGTATTTTAAAGGTGCGGCTTATTTGCGGGTGCGGCTTATATTTGGGCCAATACAGTAAATAGCTTTCCAGTTATTTTTTCTTACACAGACACTTTTGCATTCATGCATTAGCCTTATTCCAAAATGCTGAAAAGTATCTTACCCATCGGAGTTGCCCATCACTGGTGAGCTGCCGGTAGAAACCTCGAAAATCACCAATTATTTCATCCAAGTCTTTATTGACCACATGAGCAGAAAGTGCATTGACTGCACAGACAACTGCAAAATACACCAAAATCTTGAAGGGTTTTAAATTGCAAATAAATCCAGGATTTTAGTGAGCTGTGCAAATATGGTGTGTTCAGTCCTTCAAACCAAAAACAACTCTTGAATGAAATCCTAGAGAGATGAAATATCAGTTTGGCCAGGGATGACTGGTTAAATCACAGAATTGTCCTTGGCACTTTACTTCTATATTTCTGCACTTAGCATGAGGTAGACAACAAAACTATGTAAAATTACAGTATGACAAATACAGGAGGAGGATTAATCCTAAAGCCACTTAACTCAGCTAGGAACTTCTTAGAAGGCAGGTTATAAATCACGTAAATGGGAGTGGTGAATAATGAGGCCAAAGGCTTGTCTAAACAGGCAGAAAGTGCCATCAGCTCTCACAAGGAAGGGAATTCCAGCCTGAGTGCAGTCACAGCCAAAACATTCTTCCATGTCCCTTGAAAACACTATCCAGATACTGACAGGGCTTTTCTGAAAATTCTTATAGACAATTGGCTTCATAGGAAGGCAGGCGACCTGGTCATTATGAAAGGACTGCTAGTGTTTCAAGAGAACAAATAACAAATTTAATAACAAATTTAAAACATTGTAAAAAATGTATAAATTGCTGTTGGAATAGCATTTGAAAGATGAAGAGGTTAAGTCGGTTATGATACATTGGGCCAAAGATTTTGGTTATACAGTGGTACCTCGGGTTAAGTACTTAATTTGTTCCAGAGGTCCGTTCTTAACCTGAAACTGTTCTTAACCTGAAGCACCACTTTAGCTAATGGGGCCTCCTGCTGCCGCTCCGCTGCTGGAGCCCGATTTCTGTTCTTATCCTGAAGCAAAGTTCTTAACCTGAAGCACTATTTCTGGGCTAGCGGAGTGTGTAACCTGAAGCGTATGTAACCTGAAGCGTATGTAACCTGAGGTACCACTGTAATATACAGTAAAAGACTGGGAGAAATTATGGAAAGAAGGAAGAAAATTTACTGCATGCAATGCTTTGAAAGAAAATGTAATCAAAATGATGTATAGATGGTATATTGCACCAGTGAAATTAGCTAAAATGTATAAAATAAGTAATAAATGTTGGAAATGTAAGGAAAAGGAAGGCACTTTTTATCATCTGTGGTGGGAATGTAAGAAAGTGAAATGCTTCTGGGAAATGATTTATAATGAGATGAAAAAGATGTTGAAATATACATTTACAAAAAAAAACCAGAAGCATTTTTACTTGGTATTGTAGGCACTGACATTAAAAGACAAGATAAAAAACTGTTTTTATATGCAACAACTGCAGCAAGAGTATTATTGGCACATAAATGGAAGCAGGAAGAACCACCGATAAAAGAGGAATGGCAGATGAATGTAGATTGAAAGAATCAGATTTTGTAAAGCAGTTCCTAATTTTGGCAAGAAAAGAACAGAACTCCAAAGGGATTGCATGCCATCAATTCCTTCCTAGCAGAAGTGGGATAAGGTAGGGTATACAGAAAGTATCTGCATGATGCATAAGCCAAACTCCTCTTACTTCAGCTGAGGTGAACAGAAGCAGTAAAAGATATCAAAAGAGAACTGTAAATCATATAATCTGATTAGGGTTATCACAGCTGTTTGATCAACATCATGCCTTGCAACTCATTTACTAGTGTTAATAGCTGCAGCAAGATACTGCAGTGGAGTGGAAAGGCTTTAAAGGATTACACTGGGTAACAATTTTTTACTTTTTAAATGTTGTCTAGATTTCTACAACTGATTTAGGGTATTTTTGCACTGCTGAATCAGAAAATGGCATCCGTTTCTCTCCATCAGGTCAGGTTTACTGTAAACTGAATGGTGAGCATTGATAAAGGTAAGTACACGTAAATTGCATGTTGCTTCACCATTTTTCAAACTTCAGGGCTTGAACTTCCATTTCTTGGAACTCTTGGAATGCTCAGCGGAAGGGAGGTCTCTCTTCAGAGTCCAACAGTAGTCAGCCATCATGACTGCGTCCCAGCGAGCCTGATACCTGGTCTCCATCTCTTTCATGTCCTGATGGAATCTCTCCCCCTGCTCGTCACTCATTGAACCCAGGTTCTCAGGAAACCGGGCCATATGTGAAAATAGGTAGTGCATCTTGACACTCATGTTGCAGCCCAGGTTTCTGAAAGCAGTCAGCATGTTGTTGACAAGTTCTGCGTAGTTTCTGGCCTTACTGTTGCCAAGAAAGTTCTTCACTACCAGAACAAATGCCTTCCACACTTCCAGTTCCACTTCGTTCATTGAGTTTCCGAACTCTGGATCTCTGATGAGCTGACGGATCTGAGGACCGTCAAAGATGTCAGCTTTCAACTTCTCCATGGTCAATCCTGGAAAAGCCTGGCATAAGTAAGTGAAGCAGTCACCATCCTTGTCCAGAGCCTTGGTGAACTGCTTGATTAAGCCGAGCTTGATGTGCAGTGGTGGGAAGAGTATTCCGTCTCTGTCCACCAGAGGGTCGTTGATGACGTTCCTTTTTTTGCAAGGCACCAATTCCTCCCACACAGGCCAGTCTTTCTTCCCTACTATCCCACATGCACAGAAAACATGGGTACTTGGTGAAGCCAGACTGTTGTCCCGACAAAAAGTTCACCATCTTCAGGTCAAGACAAATAAACCACTTATGCTGATCATAACCAATTTTCTCCAGCACATACTTCACCGCTTCAGAGTTCTCCTTCAGTGTACTCGAGTGAGCCAGGGGTATAGAGGCAAACTGGTTGCCATTGTGTAGCAGAACACATTTCAGTGATCGCTTGCTGCTGTCAATGAACAGTCTCCAATCTTTGGGTTCGTACTGTGGCACTCCAAGCTTCAGCAGAAGCTGCGCAATATCTACACAGTACACCAAGTCCTTCTCTTCCGAGAAAAAACGGAGGTACTCTTGATGCCTATTGCGGAAGAAGCTGATGCGAGCACTGTCAGAGAGGAGGTTTTTTTCCTTCAATCTGGATGCCAACAGTTCGGCAGAGTCATTTGACAAGCTGAGGTCGTGAACTAGATCATTCAACTCCTTTTGGGAAAATGGATGTGGAGCATAATCTTCAAGAACCACTTCTTCTTCTTCATGTCCTTCAACACTGGAGGCATCTTCGTCACTAATGTCAGGAAGTTCTCCGAAGATAGGCACTGGAATTTCATCACAATGAGCTATAGGACGACGTGCTGATTGAAGATCAGGATTAACTTAGTTTTGATCCCCCAACTTAATGCTTTGCCGCACCAATTTATGGAAGATTTCGAGGTTTTATGACTTCAAACTGATCCCTTTTCGACATAATCACCCAGAACTATCGGACCTGAATACTTCTTGTCATTAAAATAATCATTTCCAATCAAAACAATTATTCGACAGGGCATTTTACCCCCACCAGCTTCTTCTAAAATGCTCCACACAAGCGTACATGTGAACAAAAACGTAAAAAAAGACATGTGGCCATAGCTCAAAAACTTGACCTGATTGAGCAAAACCAATGTGATTTTTGGATTCAGCGCATCAGATTCATCCTAAATCAACTGAAAAAATGCAGACAACAAATTTGTTGTTGACCAGTGTTATGATTCTGTTGTTGTTGCACTGGGATCGGAAGGAACCGCAGGTGGCTAAGACGTTACTATACTAAGCAGAAACCCAAACCGATGGGGAAATTGCTCAGCAGTTTGCATTGGCATAAGATATACGGGGGGCAGGGGCAGGTGGGGGGGATTGCAACTGTTGTGTGTTAAAACCTTTGCTTTAAATCTGATCATGTTTGCCACATTTTACATCACCATTTATACACACACACCCTGGTAAATGATAGAATTTCACCTACTGCTTAAGAGTGCTTTCCAGTTATTCCTTAAATGTAAAGCACACCACTGATGATGAGCATAAGAAACTTTTCATTTGTTTTAAAAGAAGCAAAATTTATCCAGGTTGAACTCTATTGCTAAATGGCATGTAACTCTACACAGATAACTAGATCAGAATAAATTCTGGGAAACAGAAGAGTACACATTATCCACAGAAGTGCCCATTGTGTGTGTATGATTAGAAAATGGCATGAAATTTAAGTAGAGTTTTCCCAGGACTGTGCTACAGGTCTGTGAAGTGCATGTGGCAAGATCGAAGCGTGAGAGAACATTAAATGTGGGAAGAGATGGGGCAGTTTGCATCCAGTCATTCTGAAACAGACACGTGTGAGGTGAGGTAACTTGCTGGCTAGAGCTGATGGGAACTGGAGTCAAATAACCTATGAAGGGCCACAGTTTCCTATCCCTGTTTTACAATAAATATTAGGTTCCAGATGCAGCAGAAAGGCGTCAAGGTCTATATTTACTGATGTAAAGTCAAGACCACACGAAAACATAATTTGAAAATGTTTATTTATCAGATAAATTTTATCTGCAGATCCAGAAGGCTCTTACACCCATAGGGGCTGTTATTTTCACCTGGTGACTGAAATTATTCAAAAAAGGCCTACAGGTTTCCCAGCCCTGACATCTGGTTGGTTTTTAAGAAGCCACAAGCTTTGTTTTTTGCATCAATAAACAAATATGGCTGCCCCTCTGGAAGTAGCCAGCAGGTGGTGATAGAGTCCACTAATGGCAGCCCTTCAATAATATGAGATTTATGTTTAAAAGCTTCTTAACTCTATGGTTTAGTCCAAAGGAATGCAACAACTTCACATCAGTGCTACCAACCCTGCTGAGTGCTGGCATTAGCATGTTTGAGCTGATGTTCAGGGAAAGCAGCTTTTAAAATATCATCATGATTGCTGGAAAAATGGAGGCTGCTTAAAACAACACTTTGGTAACCTGCAGTTGAGAGCTGCAAGGATAGCTTGCCATTAAATGCCATGCCTAAGGCAGCAGGAAATGGCAAGAGTTTTGTAGGTACCCTCAGTATTGAAGTAGTATTAACACTAACAGAAGTAATGAAAATTCTCTAACCCTTGGCCAAAAGGCTTCAGTGCTCTATGGCTTTGCAGCGGAGCAGTTGCAATACATGACTTATTAGTACAAAGATCAAGAAAGCTCCTGAACTTAGATTTCCTCTTGGAGGCCCTTTCCAATGAGGAATTGTCATTCTCACAAAAGATGATTAATTTAAATCGGAGGCAGCATGATAACTTACCCACTTCTGTCCCTTTGCCCAGCGTAAATGTTAAGCCATAACCTTTGAGCCCGTCAGGAGCATCTGTTTCTATTACAACATAAACTGCAGAATAATCTGGGTCGGGGTGCTGAATGGAAGAGCAAAAACAACCAATATTGATGCCAGCAAAACACACACACACACACACACACACACACACACACCCCCTACATCTGGCTTCTTACATAGACATCTTCACCAAGTACAATTTTTCTGAATAAGGGTTGTTGTTTTTTGTTTTAAATCAAAAGGTGTAGTCTATCTCTTTACCATCAGTGTTGTAGGAAAGGGCAGTGAAAGCCTTCAAACAGGAAGCAGCAACTTTTTCTTCATGAAGAAATTTCCCTATGAATTTACTAACAATAAAAGGGAACAGTGTAGTTCCATATAGAACATGATGTAGTTTCTCCCCTGTGGGTATGGCGGTTATGGTTTGTGTTTGTTACTATGGTTTTTATATTGTAAAACCATCATGTGATCCTCAGATGATGGGCGTTATAGAATTTTAGTTAAGAGGTGAAGAGGTGGGGGCAGTCAGGTACACTTGCCCCAACCTCAGAGGGATAAGCTGGCCGTAACTCCCCTGCCCCCCACGGCACTGGACAAGGGGGGACGGGGAGGCCAGCTCCCTCACCCCCGTCAGGTAAAACAATAGAAATATTTAACTGACCAATCACTTCGGTTCTGCCCACCCAACAAAAGTCTTGCCCGCCCCTAACAAAGTCCTGCCCCCCCCAAGAAAAATCTTGGCTACGCCCATGGCACTGGATGCTTTTTGGTTTGAGTTTATAACTTTATTCCAGCAAGACTCCCACCCCGGGCCTCACACAAGCTTGCACGGGGCTGATAATACCTGTCATGAAGCTATTTGCCCATTCAAACCTAGCTGCGTAAAGGGACAAGCAGCGTGGTGTCTAAATCACGACAGATCCAAGAGCAGAAAGCAGGAACACGTCTAAAGTGACCGACTAGCATCCTAACCCACTTAAAACTAGGAGATGCAACTTCCGCAGCTCCGTTGAGCTTGGGAAAACGGCCGAGGGAGGAAAGCAAGAGAGGCAGGCGAGCCCAATCGGCGAGATCTAGAGTGGGCGCCCGAGGAGATCTGCCCTGCTGGAGCCGTCGGAGATCGGGCTGCGGCGCGGCGCCTTGGCAGAGAGCGCGCCCGGGCGCAGCGCTTACCATCGCGTCTGAGCCATGGCGGGCCAGGGACGTGGGGAAGCGGACGTCGCTCGCGACCAGACCCAACACCCTCCCTCGGCCCATCGCGACAGGGAGTCTCCGGCGGGAGTTCTGCGGGAATCCGCTTTCCGCCGACCCCTGGGGATCCCTACGGGACGCCGATTGGCCCGCGCGGCGCTTGTGGGCGGCCGTATCCGAGGGGAGGAGGTTGGAGGGGGAAGCAAATGCCGAGGAGGCTCGAAGAACAGGGGAGAGCTAGAGAGGAAGGGGCGGCCCCACAAGTTAGAGCCCCACAAGGCGGAAAGAGGCTGGCCGGAATTCTGGCTGAGTTAGGGTCGCGCTGCGATGCAACTCCAAGGGGATAATCGCGTGGAGTTTGCGCTTATCCGGGAGCGCCGAGGCTAGCTGCGCAACTGTGCCTTTTTCACGCATTTCCCGCCCTGCCTCAAAGAATTCTGGGCGCTGTAGTTTCTTAAGGGTTGCTGGAAGTAGTAACTCTGCGAGGGATGAACTACAGGGCCCAGAATTCTTTGGTGCTTCCAATGTGCTTTAATGGGGTTTGCGATTGAACTCAGAAAAACAAACAAACCTGTTTCTTTAATAGCATGCACAGGCGCACTGCAATGCTAACTTTCTCCCAAACACCCCCCAAAAATAGATACTGTTTCTCAGGTTTATTATGGCATAACCTTTTGTGGACTTACGAGTTTATACCATAATAAATGTGTTACAGTACAATTGTCTACTTAGAAGCCCCATTGATGTCAATGTTGCTTACTCCCAGATGAACAGGATCGATTGCAGCCTTAACTCTTGCCCCCCCCCAACAAAGTAACACATCAAAGACTTGGGACTTGAGCATTTATGGACACATCAACTTTGACTAGGAAGTTCTTTCCTCAATCCTTGATGAGGATAGGGATTCTCCAGAGTTATTGGTATAGAAAATGCTTTTTGCACACACTCAGGTGCACTTTAATCTATTCCAGGAGTGGGCAAGCGCTTCAGATGTAATTGGACTCCCAAACTGCCACAAGCCAACGCCAGCATGTCCAGTGGCCAGGTATGGTGGGAGTGGTTATACAACAGCAGCTGGAGAACCACAGATTCCCTACCCCATCTCTATTCCATTGTTGAGCCCCTGGCACTGAAAACAGGCATTACTGCTGAGATCTGGCACAAGTTCTGAAGCTTTAGCAGCTGAAACTTTTTCCAGCGTGGACCTAATGTTAAATGTGTGCCAAGCAGGTGATGGTCCAGATGCATGGCGGTTAATGATCACCCTAACAAAACAGGCTTTAAATCAAAGGGAATGTTAATGCTTTAATATCTAAAACAAACAGACCAAGCCAAAAATATCTAAAACAGACTAATCCAGAGGGCTACTGTACCATTTGTCGCCTTTTGAACTGGAACCTTTAACTGAGCCTGAACAACCCCTTTGATCTGCACCAATTAGCAAGTGATCATGTTTCTCTCTATACCAACGAAAACTTCACTTGCTAATTCTTACACCCCAAGCTCCTGCTACAGGTGCAAGAGCAGGTGAGGCAGCGATTAAAATGACAGACTGTTAAGTCAACCCCAGTGTTAGAACACATCCTGGAAAAAACCCACAACTAGTTATGTTGAAAGAGCATCTGAAAGGCTAACCAGTGCATCAGTTAGGCCTTTGCGATTATCTGGTATTCCTGGTATGCCTTCTGGTGCCTTCTCTATGGTCTTCCTGTAGTTCCTGTGCTGACCTCTTCCCAGCTCTTGTAAACTGCCTTCAGCCCTCAACATTCCCTGTTTCAGTGGGAAGGAATTGTACGGGGTGACAGAAGTCTCAAACTTTTGCTAAGCCCTTATTTACCACCATCACTGATTGAACAGCTTTTGGCCTGGGATGAAATTGGGCCATTTTGAGAAGGGTTGCACGATATGCTTGTATAAAAAAAGACTGAAATAAGTGGTATTATCCTTATTTAACATGTTCTCCTAAAGAGACACAACAGGCCCCATGAAACTGCAGAGCTCCTACGATACTGTGTCTGAAGCTGCCTCCACTGTAATGTTTTGCATCCCTGAAATGCTTTATCGGTATTGTCACCAGACTCTGTAGAACAGCTCAGTACACACTTAGAAGTCTTTGAGAAGTATAATACTTGTGTGTTGCTTCTGAAAAGAGTGCCAATAGATAGAAAAGCAACATGATCATTGCTTTTCTGGGTGTAGAGGGCGTAGAGATCTAGCAGTTGGAAATGGCAGTTTTATTTTATTTACATATTATTTCATAAAATTTATACACTGCTTGATCGTAAAAAACCCCCCTCAAAGTGGTTTACAAAAGAGTAAACAATAAAATCAAGGAAAAAATTCAAACATACAAAGTTAAAATGCTAAAACAGATTAAAACTGTCTTAACTTTCTAAGCATCTGGGGTAGTATCCAAGTCATACTGAGAGCAGACTCATTGAAATCTGGACTGAGTACTTTCTAAAGGTGGTGTTTTATGAAAAGTTCCTACTTCTCTGAAATAGTCAACTGAGATCAGTGACTCAGTGACTTAGTTGGATGCCAACCTTAGAATTTTTGGAACATGCTAATTGTGGCCACAGTCCAGTTGCCCTGCTCAAAATTAACTGTACAGTACTTGCAAGCCTGTGGTTTTGAGGAAATGCTTCTTAAATTTACTAGTCATTTCAAAAACAGCAAAAACTATTAAGCTTGGGTATCTGGGCTTCACACCAGTTTATGTAGACCAAAAAATATATATTAAAAATACCTTATGTCGATTATCGGGATAGGCAAACAAATCAGTAAGGAGACATAACTGGCAAGTCAGAAGAGGCTGACGGGTAGAAAATGGACTAATGGAGGAAAATGCATAAATTGCTCATAAAAGCACAGTAGAGCCAGGTCACAAAACATATTCAAAATCAGAGAAATAGGAACTGATAATATCACACCTTATAATGTATGTCGTTCGTTACTGATATGAAAGGCTGTGTGCATTTTCACACTCAAAATAGGCCTCAAGCTGATTTCATACACTTGCTATCCCCCTCTCTCTCTCACACATGGACAGAGGGAAAGAGAGACTGCAAAGAGATGGTATAAATAAGACATAGGAACAACCCCGTGGATATTGGTCTCTGCTGAAACTGCACACAGTGCTGCTTGATTTGCAGGAAGCAAAGCTGTGTCTCTTTCCCTTGAGCTGTGTGGGAGTTTCTCTACTGTACTTCTGAAATTAAGGGGTGAGAGTAGAGAAAGATCATCCCTGCATCTCTCTCCAATTTCTAGTAACTGGTTGTAGCACCGTTATCCTGAGATTTTCCCACGCCTGTGTGTTCTCCACAAGGAAACTAATTTTTTCTAAGGCTGTTTTATCCTTGACAGTATTTCACTTGCTCTTCATCACAGACAGATGACTGGCCTAGAACAAAATCAACAGCTGGCCAAGGAGGCAGCAAAACCAGGGGTAAGAGATGTTTGGGAGTTATCAGTTGAAGTAGCAAGTTTCAGGAATGAGCATCTTCCAAAATAGTAGGGAGTTGTTAAGTGGGGACTTTTTGGATCAGGGTTCACTACCTCATCTAATAGGATATATATGCAAGATGTTTTGATATAATTTCATAGGAATATGAACTGCTACTACAAATAACCATAATGCTATAGCCTACTTCAATAAGATTCAGAGGCAAATAAGTGGCCACTTTCTATAAGTCTGGGTAAAAGTTGATTTAATCCAGGAAACCTGCATGGGGAAGAGTGCCCTGGATACTGTCTGAAAATACAAATTGTCAATGTCACAGCTATTAAACACTCTGCTCCAACAATTTGTTATTTTTTGAACTTTCGTATCAGACATTTTTGAGGAAAGGGCTGTGGTTACGAATTAACATATATCTAGCAAAATATGACATTTAACAAATAGACTGTAATATAAATAAGCACCGCTGCTGAATAGAGGAATAATGAGTTATGCTTAGATTTCCACAGATGTTAAACCATGGTTTGTTTGTTTTTGTAAACAGTATCCACTACACAATGATTATACTTTAGGAAGTTTAATTATGCAAAAGTAATAAAATATTAAAAATATTTAAGCTTGTGTACACAGCATGATAGGAAAACCAAACCAAAATTTAAAAATGAAAAGTTACCACACAATGTAGCTTCAACAAAACAGATGGGCAAGGTTTGCAATACAGTTTTGATCAGAAATGTTACATAACTGTTTCCATTAAAATATCAAAATCATTCTTAAATGATTGATTACAGTAGCGCAAGTGCTGAAAATACAATAAATGTAGTAGTTGAAAACATGTAAAAAGTTTGCATCGTCGTTTTGTTTTGTTTAGAAAACAGTATACTAGGATTTCTACAGTCATCATATACAGTGGCACTTCTGTACACTGGAGATGTGGGATTGGCTGTACAATATTCAATGAAGAATGAGGTTGTGGAAGAAGACATGGGAAACAATGCACAAAACTAAGCTTTTGTGTTGTTTGCATTAAAAACGAGCTGAGATGGCATGGAAGTAGTGTCTGAGAAATTTATAACCAACAGCACAATCTGTTGGGAACTTTCCCAGCACGGATCTCTTTGAAATGAACAGGAGCAACACAAGGATATGGTGGCATCCATTCTTTTCAGCTGTGTTTCTGCATAATTTTCTTAGTTAATTATGTTTACCACTCCCAGTCCACTGAGGAGCAAACCACAACCACACACACACACACACACACACACACACCTCATGCAAGAGGCTGCTGTGGGGTGCAAACTCCCCAACATCTACCAATGCAGCTCACATATGTGGAAGGAAGTGGAGGGGAGAGAATCCTGAGATCCACACACACACATAGCAGTGATACTATTCAATTCATGGTACAGTTCAGTCTCTGTTCTATTTGGCAAAGTACTGGAGCAGGGAATATCCACAAATACTGCTGCAGTCCTGGGACTGTAGCCCAAGAACCGATGCGAAGTATACAAATTAAGAACAAAACATTCATAATATCACAAGACGCCTCAACCACATGGAGCAAAGTAGTCGTTAGTGTTTTCTTATCGTTAATTGGTAAGGGGAAACAGTTCAGAGCGTATCTTAGAAGGGTTCACTTGCTCACTGATACGGAAACAGGACCGACAAAATAATTCATGAAAAGTAATTAATATTCTAGGGGGAAGAAATTAAGTAAGACCTGACATCTGCAAGATATAGTCTATATGGACTGCTGAAAAAAAATGTTTAGAAGAATGCAAAATGAAATGCCAACAGAATAGTGATTCTTATAACCCTCTAGAGTTCTAAAGTGATGTTCAAATTATTTATTTATTTATTGCATTTCTGGGTTGCCCTTTTCAGCCCAAGGTGGCACACATAGCTCTCCGCCATCCCCACAACAACCCTGTGAGGTAGGTTAGGCTGAGAGGCAGTGCCTGGCCTAAGGACCCCCAGCGAGCATGAATCCCAAGTGGGGATTTGCACCCTGCTCTCCTTGGCACTCTAAGCCCTATGTCATACTGGCTTAAGAAAGCAGCTCAGGAACCTATCAGGGTTTTTCTTTTCTTTTTTAAAAAAGATAAGCTGCTATAATTGGGGTGAATTTAATTTAAAATCAATCCTGTTAAGCAAAATTAAAAACATACTTTATAAAAATAATTAAATTTCTTAGTGTATTGTATTACTTTTAATAAAAAAAAGTATGTCAGTGTCAAGTTCTTATTTGCCAAAACAGCTTAATTACATCAAAGATTTGAGGTAAAAGACTCATCACAAAGAAAGTTGTAGATACTGAGGGCATTCTTTTTAAAATACATAATTGTTTTTCATGAACTGGCTCATAAAGTTAAGTGTTTTTTTATTTCCTCACTATACAAATGTTGTTACAATGAATTGTTCCATTTGTTAATTAACATCCAATCAATATCAGAATAATTTACTGATGTGTTGCATTATTACATAAGTATAATTGCATTACCCATTCTAACATACAGGAAAAATCACAATCCCATAATTTATTTTCTACATAAAACCCTTAGAAAATGTCAGTGTTAGGGATGCATAAATGATAAGGGAAAATGCAACATAATTGCACCGTTTTAAAAAAAATATTGTAGGAGCAGAATTCAAAACTCCCGATGCAACAAATGTAACCATTAAGAACTAAATCCATACGATTTGTCTGATATGACAATGATGTTGATCATAATTTTCACAGAAAAAGTTTGTTGTGCAGAATTTTTTTTAAAGTAAAATTGGCAAATTCTAAGAATGCCAACAGCACATTATTGCTTGATATGTCAGAGGTTATATTACTTCCAAATATAACTAAGGACAATATGCAGGTGGAAGAAGGCTCTTCCACGCTTGCCACTAGCTGAATCTAGTGAGGTGAATATGCAAAGCCGGGGGGTGGGGGTGGGAATGGTAAATCCTACCAACCACTCCCCCTTCCACACACAGCCACTTATTGGTGGGAGTTTGGCTTTTCTAAACAGCCCGTCCATGTGCAAACCCTGCTCTGTATGCATGCTCTGTTGGCTTGGAGCTTGAATATAGTATGCAACAGCTGGGCCAACTAACCATCAATAATTTGCAGTCAATAATCTAATACTAAATATATTGGGCTCCTCAACTTTTCACACTTTTTTCCATAAATACTTTGTAAATGATACATAAGAGTATCTTCTTAAGAAAAGCAGAAGTGCAATTCTGTGAATCCCTGAACTAGCAATGTTTTATAGGAAGCATTTGTAGCTACTGACCACCTCTCCCTCCCTCTCTTTCTCTCTTTGTCTCCTGAAAGAAGCTCACAAGATTGAGGCATGTTTCACAGGGCATTTCTCTCTGAAAGGCTACCTCTTGAAAGAATGCTGAAACTTTCACTTTCCCCCTGATTGTATTAATTCAACTTGTGGTTACCTTTATCATTTATAATTAAAGTATAGCAGGAACGGGGGTGGGGTGGGGAGATCCACTTGCATATACTAATTTCCAGTTACATTAACATAAAAGTATCTCTACAGTGCATTAATGCTCTTCACTTCCACTACTGAGGTCTACAATTTAATCAAGTTTATCATAAATTGTCTGGTTTTTAAAAGAATATTTTCCTATCCTAATTAAATCAATGTAAAATGGGTCGGGTCTCAAGATCACAACTGTAGTGCTATCTCAGTTTTTGGACACAGGGCATTTTATAAAATTGGAACTGAATTGTTTGGTCCCGTACACCTCCTTTCTTATTCTCAGAACATTTCCATTCAGAAGTTTATCTAATTGCTGGTGTTCCCTTTGAAGTACAGATAAGACAAGAGAAAAAGAAACAGATTAGCTGTGCCACTCTTATAAACTGTAATGGTAATGCTCATTTTACCACCAATTTTAAGGTATGCTTCTTCTGGACCCTGACAGAATAAGGAAGGAAAATATCACATCATTGGTACATTTGGGTATAACACTTTAAAAAGTGGTTTTGTGCAATTGTATTATGGAATTCCAGTTTGCTAGCCATCAAGAGCATGCAAATGGCAATTTGCTTTCCTCTGAGTCCTTCCAATCAGCAAGGATTTTTTTTTTTGGAAGTATTTTATATTTGGCAGATTTGTGCAATGAATGTAGGCCAAAGACTTATAAATTATCTCCAGGCTGGTACTGTGGTTCTGTTGCAGTAAAATAGTCTTCTAAGAAAGATTGAATATACTCAAATGTTGGTCTTTCATCAGGATCTTTCTTCCAACACAGTTTCATTAACTCATGGAGAGATTCTGGGCATCCTTGAGGACAAGGCATTCTATAGCCACGTTCCACTTGTTCCAAAACTTCCCGGTTTACCATGCCTAAAATTATACAATATGGATTGAAGTTTATAGTCAAGAACATGGAAGAGCTTTTAAGGAGTGGCCAGTGATTTTCAGGCCTTTTGAGAATCTATGAATAACGGGTGTATCTGAAACAAGATATTGGCTGGGTTCAGATGTAATGCAAACCCATGGTTTGTGTCTCTAAGCTATGATTGTCTGAGTTTTCAAACCTGAAGTCAGTCAAAATTCTTGGTTTGTTTGGGGGGTGACAAACCGAGATCTGAAACGAATAGACACTGTCTTGTTAACTACAGTTTGCAGTTTTGTCTATAGTTAATGTCAGGAGCTGGAGTCAGGGGCAGATCAGCAACAAAACAACCAGTGTAAGTGAAGTTAACTCCAAAGAAACCAGAACAGCTCAGGCCTAGTGATCAGAGCAACTTTCCCTGGTAGGTCTTGCCCTAATGAGGCAGTTGTGAGGACTGAGGGGCTTCACCTTCCCACGGCTCTCCTCACCCAGGTTCTTCCCCAGCAACCTGAGGCTCCTTCATCTTCTCTCTCTTTGCAACAACTTTTATATACCCCCAGACCTATTGATATCATTTTCATATTAGTCTTTGCTGATAGGTTGGTTTTAGCTCTTTTATTTGTGAAATGTTCTGTTTACTGTGACGGACATTTGTTTTATTTCATGCTGGGACAGCTTTTAGCATTGAATTTATTGTATTATTGTGGTGGTGTAATCTTGTTTCAAATATTGGTATGTACACTGCCTAGAGAATTGATTTTCTGAGGTGACCAAAATCAATAATAGTATAATATATAGGCTCCAGTCCTTTCATAAAGCAGAACCACCTAACTAAACTAACAAATTAATCTTCAGTACTTTTAGTTTAGTGGTGAACTCTTGTTCACATGTGAAAACAATGCTGGAGACAAACCAGTTTTGAATATTAGTGAATAAAACAGGCTATTTTGCCCTGCATGAATTTCTAAGAAAAAAAACACACAGCAAGAAATAGAACAGTGAATTAGCTCACACATTCAAGATACCATATAAGCAAAAACAATATTCTTATTCTTTCTTTTTTTACCTGGATATGGCACACGACCCTTTGTTACAAGCTCTGTCAACAAAATTCCAAATGACCAGACATCAGATTTAATTGTAAACCGACCATATAATGCAGCCTCAGGTGCTGTCCACTTAATTGGGAATTTGGCCCCTAAAAGTGGATAGAAGTATAAAAAGTAGTTTTGGTGTGAACTTGCAAGATTGACTCTGCGGACAGAATTCATAATTTTACAAGGCCAGAAGTATAAACATTTAAATAACCTTATAATGTTTGCAGCCCCATAGGTTCATGGGGATCAAACACTGATGGGGTAACACCTTTGTTAGGACCAACCCCCCAAATTGCAAAATAATAACGTTTCTGAACTTCAAGCTAGATCTAATGTTAGATAAATATAGCAATGATAGGGTTCAGGTATTATAGAAAAGCCCCAGTGTAGGACATGGTGTAATTTTAGAAATATAGAAAATGCCATTTCAGAACTGAAATAGAAATTTTTATTTCATGGTTCATGAGACTGCAATGATGGTATGCAACTGTAATATGTGTGTGAGAGAAGCCCATGTTACAAGTCTGTATTGGGCCCCAAATAATTATGCTTAGGCCTTGCTGATCATGAACCCAGATGTGGTTCTAGATTTTAAATCTCTCAAATTAATACTGTTGGTTAATAAGAAATATAACAAAATAACAGATATACCTTGTCTGGCAGTGTACTCATTGTCCTCTATTAACCTTGCTAAGCCAAAGTCTGCAATCTTGCACACCAGGTTGTCTCCTACAAGGATGTTAGCTGCCCGAAGGTCTCTATGAATGTAGTTCATTCTTTCAATGTAGGCCATGCCATCTGCAATCTTTAAAAAACTGTATATTAACTAAACAGTTCATAGCCTCCCAAATACTTAACATAAACTAATAAACATGCTTGCTCTTATTTAGCTGCCTAAGTTACATTTTACAAACATAACACTGATACTAGATCTTTACCATTTTTTAGATTTAAGATTTTTAGATTTAACTATGCATATATTCTATTCAAGCTTGTAGTAATTATTATTTTGCAACATAATTAAAAGTTCTTCATAAACTGAAAAAAAGCTATACACTAGTTAAAGCAGACTGTTGTGTTCAACCTTTTCTACATGTTACCCAATACTACCATGTTGTAACAAGATAATAATCTAGCAAAATGACCTCTCTTGATTTAAACAAGTACCTGAGCAGCCATATCCACCAACTGCGGAAGCTTTAAATATTTCCCTTCTCCTTCCTTAAGGAAGTCTAGCAGGCTACCTGCAGAAAGACATTAGTGCATTAATTTAGGTGCAGCTGGAAACTTATATGAGACATTATTAAAGTAATTTACAGGGAATGGTTCTAGACTCTTTTCTCCACTGTGGAATCTGTTAGCATAGATAATATTCTTTGCAAAACACAGTAGTGTCCAAAACACAATGATTTCACATAATTTTGCAAGGGACTCAGTTGAAAATAGGGTTGTCTCAAGCATATTGCACAAACCTAACACTGACAGAATCAAAATGAAGGAAATAGATAGAAGGGACTGTAGTGCTGCTGCTAATTCCTTGGGTTTATCTGGATGAGAGGCTCAGTGCTGTTAATTTAGAGCCATTTAAAATTTATTGGTTGAACATGAGACTCCCCAAAAAGAAACCACCTCCATAACTTTGTGAGGCACCAATTTTACATCACATATGCACAAACAAGTGACCTGTAGAAATGGATGCAAATGTAGTATTGATTTATCTATTAGTCACAGGCAGCGTTCAAGTAGAGCTCTCCCTCTTGGAAAGAGACTGGATTACCAGAATCTGTACAACAGCAGTTTCTACATTTACAGCAAGCAGCTAGGAAAATAATGGAACTGAAGCCAGTTCAAATTTCATCTACTACTGCTATGAACCTGAGTGCACAAGTTTTCACCCACTCATGTGCATTCACATGCAGAAGGCAACATTAATTGACAATTGTTATGTTTGCACACAACACTAAGCTAAGTCATGGTTGAGTACTGCATGGAGAAGCTGGAATGAGATTCATGCGCCCAATCTTTTTCTCCCATGTCACTAGCATATTGTTGTTTAAAAATCAAAGATTGTGGTTTATAACTTTTTAAAACTTTAAACTCTGCATTATGAAACTAGCTTTTTAAACTAGTTCATATGCAACAACAAGCTGGGATTCTGTGAAAATAGAACTAAATGTTGTCAAAATCCTCTTCTGGGCCACATGGAGGAGACTGAAGGGGAGGGAGCACAGGAGCCTGTGTCTTGGCCTCATTTCAGCTGATGCACCAAGTGCTAAATTGGAAACAGATCAGCATGTCTTTAGTACAAGAAGTATCCTTTTGTTTCAGATGCAAAAGACTCTATGAAGTCTGACTATATCTGACATATAGGCTGAGTTTGCACAAAGCGCTAAACCACAGTTTAATGTTATGTTCATGAGCTTTGTACTTGTGTCTTCTTCCTCACTTTTCCTTCTGCATAGCTACAAGGGGGATATTGGAAGCATTAAGACTGTTAAGACATAATGACAAACAGTGGTTAGTTGAAATTGGAAGCAAATGCTTCCAATTGCCTCATGGTGGTCACAACCAGATAAGAAAGTACAGGGGGATGCGTGAACCTGAGACTTGTGCATTTAACACTGAACTATTGTTTAGCATTACATACGAAGCAGACCCTGTTTTAGAAAGTCTTATCTGAAATAGTTTTAATTGAATCTTTATTTTATGTAGCAATAGGATTGAAGCAAAATATTGATGCCATTCATATATAGGTTCCCGGAAATTTTCCCTAATAGAAAACCAAACAGTTAAGCAGTTAAAACTGTGACAATGTAAGAAAGAAAAAAGAGAATATGTCAGTCTTTTAAAGACCAGCAGATTATTTGCAAGGGAGACCCAGCAAACCAAACAACAGAATTTACAAAATATTTCCATTTCAATCTCTTTTGTATCCATGTAAGAAGAAACAAGTACCTTTTGTCATGAATTCAGTGACTATGTAGATTGGCTCCTCAGAAACAACAGCATAAAGTGGAACAAGTTTATCATGCCTTAATTTCTTCATTATTTGAGCTTCTTGTAGGAAAGCTTCTGGCATCATTGTACCAGGTTTTAGTGTTTTGATTGCTACTTTTGTAGTTCCATTCCATGTTCCTATGGAAGCAGTGCATTATACTGTCAGTTACAGCAGAGAGAGATTTTCAGAATCTAATAAATAAATGGCATTACACTAATCAGTTACCTATAACTGCTTTCTCTTTTTTTACTTTGAAAACTATATAGAGAATCATATTAATATCCCTTTATTCATGCTTCATGAACCGATGAGCAGTGTTACATCTGAATCAGATCAATGGTCCACCTTGTCCAGGGTTGTCTACATTGATTGGCAGTTGCTCTCTAGGGCCTTAAGGCAGAAGTCTTCTTAGCCCTCCTTCCAGGGATCCTTTGCAAATGGGAGGAGCCAGACTGAACCTTGTTTCTTCTGCATGTAGAGCCTATGATGCACCAATTAACTATGACCCTTCCCTGTGTAATGCTTACCCATCCATACTTCGCCAAAGCATCCTTGACCCAGCTTAACCTCTAGCCGCAAAGACTCTCTAGGAATTTCCCAGGCATCTTTTGCTAAACCTTGTGTCTGAGGTTTCACAGTTGGGCACACAGTTGTTAATTTATGACACAGGCCATCAGCATGATCTGGTAATTAGAAGAAGAAGAAAATTCCAAATAGTCACATTTTTCAACAACAAAAAGCCATTTCCATAAATTCTCTCATTAGACCAAAAGTGCTCTTTATACATCTTTTAAGAATATTAAGATCTGATTCTATATATTTTCATTTCTGCAGCTATATATGAAGCTGGAGGATTTAAGACTTACCTGTATAGTGCTTGACCAGCTTTTGCAAAGATTCAAATTGTGCTCTAGTTGTTATGTAATATCCACCATTATCAAGTTTTCTAATTTTGTAGTGTTTCACATTATCACCTCTAACCTCATCCCAGTCACGTATAGAAAGGGAATAAGCACCTTGGAAAAAAAGGTAAAAAAGTAAAGTTTTGCTTTTGTCAATGTATTTATAAACAATAGTTGTTTGCCCTATGAAATAACAAAATTAATGATATACCTTTTGTGGTTTCACTCTCACGGACTAAGAAAATACCACGTTGGTTCCCAGGATTTAAAAGTAATCTCTCTGCATCTTTCCTGCCCATCTTACCAAAATACCATCTAGATAATTCAAAGGAAAAAATATATGGTCAAATAATGATTCTCTTGCAACAGTCTGGATAATACTGCAGTGTACAGAAACCATTTTACAAAAAAAGTCAATTGCATCTCAAGTGATAAGAATATGGCTTTCCACACTGATCCTACTATAAACCTGCAATATTTTCTATTTGAACAGGAAGTATGGTTTCCTTCTTTATGGACTATGGTTTAACAACCATGGAAATTGTCCCAAAGGCCCAATAATAGTCTAAGTCTTTATTCTTATTCTTGAACTCTAGCCACTCTCTCATACCCCATGGCAAACTCTTTTGTGGAATGACATGGGGGGTTAACTACTCAATTAAAATAGTTAAAAATTCCACTGGACTAATGCAATCACTGGTTTTGCTGAGGCAGTCTTTGGATTGTAGCTTCAATGTAATTTTGTTGTTCCCCTACATTTTTTCATTTAAAATTCAGTCTTAACAGTGTTTCATTGTAGTTTTGTGGTATTTTTTAAATGTCAGGCATATCAAACAGTATTTTAAAGCGAGGCAATATTTATAACTATTTATTAATTTGGAAAACACATTATGTTATGTTTGACATATCATTTTGTCTCCTATCATATCTTAAACACTCCTGACTAGCATAGAAACAAACATTAAGCAAGCAACAAAATTAAACTTATGCAACTGAATATTTATAGATTAAAAAATAAACTATAGACATGGTTCCTTCTCATACTACTACTACTACTACTACTACTAATTTATTTATACCCCGTCCATCTGGCTGAGTTTCACCAGCCACTCTGGGCGGCTTCCAATTGAGTGTTAAAAACAATACAGCATTAAATATTAAAAACTTCCCTAAACAGGGCAGCCTTCAGATGTCTTTTAAAGAGAAGATAGCTGCTTATTTCCTTCACATCTGAAGGGGGGGGGGTGTTCCACAGGGCGGGTGCTCATTCATACTGAGGTATGCAAAAGGAGTCTTCTGCTAGTTCTAGCTTTCCCCATAGCCCAGGTGGAAATGAGATAAGACTGTAGATGGGAAAGCTTTCTAAAATTGTCCCAGATTAATTTAGATATTATCCAAGTTCTCCTGGGGGGGAAAAAGCCTGAAAATATTTGTCCAAGTCAAACCAAAGGTCAAATAAAATTTAGTGCCAGCCTTTGATGGTCCTATCAGTCCACCACACTCAGCACAACTCCTCTTCCCCCTCTTCCCTACATTTACCCAGAAATCTGGTAGCAGCAGTGGAAGTTGTAGAGGGGGAGAAGAAGAGAGGGGTATCTCTTTTCTCCTTCTTTCATTAACAATGTGCTGGGTACAAAGGCAGAGTGGTCATGTGCAATTTAGTTCTCCCAAAGGTTGCTGCAACTGCAGTGCCCCACAGGAGACTGTACCTGTCTCATATTTCCCCAGGCTTACTGTCATGTCAGGAAAACAGAAGGAGAGAAGGAACAAAGTCTTTCTGCTTAATTTTCTCCCTTGCCTTATGAATGCTCAGTGCTCCTGCTGCCTCCTTGCAAATGGTAAATGGAATTGCGTTAAGGGGGAAGCCATTAATTCTTCTCCAAATCTGATCGTGACCTGAGCCAGATAAGAATTTGGGAGTTCTCATCTGATGTGGTGTTTAACAAGTTCCTTAAGTTTGCATCAAAGCCTGGGTGAGGATAACTTCAGCGCCATCATAAGATGCAATTTCACCTATTCCTAAGATCACTATGCATGCCAGAGGACTTAAGAGAGTGGATTGGTGGCAAGACAAAAATTGGTTGTCTAGTACGCAAAGCCTTTTTTAAAAAGCACTTTAAAATGCAGCAATACAGAGAGAGAGAGGCAACTGCTTTCACCCAAGATTTAGATAACAAAGTATGGTTCATAGCAACAAACACTGCATGATAAATAAATTCTTGGAGTATCTATGTCAAAGGACTTGCTAATGCATGAGTCATCAACCACGATTATTCAATTCCACCCACAGCAAGTTAATGGAAGGTTACTTTCATAATCTACAAGTAGTACTCCAGCACTTTCCCAATGGAAGTGTAGCCATCTAACTGTGTTCCATGACCCTGTTGCCCTTAGTAACTAGGATAGAATGTAAAAAATACTGGTAAATATAAAAATCTGTTAAGCAACACAAGCATTGTAGAGCATTATTCTATCAGCATTAGATTAAGCATGTGCAATAATCCTTCATATTATGTGGGACTTCAGTTCCAAGGGTTGCATGTACATATGAAAATCACAAATAATCAAAACCTTGGAGCCATCTCATGGCTAGCGGGTGAGCATGAGAGAGAGTAGTTGAATCTGGCCCCAAAGCTGTTGCAAATGGTATCTATTAATAATTTAGCTTCTCCCTTACCCAATATCTGCAGGCTGTGATGGGCCAATAATTGCATCAGCAGCTACACATGCAAATACCGTTCCCAAAACTCTGGTGTATGTTATGTAAATATAAGCTAAAATATAAGCAATGTTTATTAAGAGATTGGTTTCATTTAGTCCCTCAAGGCACTTGGAATGGGGCAATCTTTCGTCTGCCTATAAGTCTTCTGCCTATAATTCTGTTGAAAGGTTATGGGTGAAATGACTGACCAAGGACACAACAATGCCTTACTCTTCTGCTTGAATGGAGTCTGCAGGAGCTACGTAATTGCTAGGAATGTAGCCACTCTTTCCTGTTGCAATTGATCGTGCTTCCCACCAGTCTCCTTCCCTGGGGGAAAAAAGGTATTACACTGAATATACATGAACAATAAGTCACTTTGCAAAGTGAAATGACATGAATACATAAACTGATCTTCAGTCCTGGCTTAGCTAATATGGCCTTATTGAAATTTAGGAAAACGGAATCTCAACTAGGTTGCACTAGAAACAAGTACATTTTCCCCTGTTTAGGGGCAATTGTATGCAGTAGAAAGGTCAATTTCCACCTTGCCTCTAGTAAACCTTTGACCAATAATTGGAAAGGATGAATCTAGAAAACGGATCCTGAAAGGCTCTGGTTTCCCAAGGTTAGGAAGCCCTGAAGGAGACAGACTGTCCTCTCAACTCTGGAAAATAATGGAAAGTCACTTTTAAAAACAACTCTTCAATTAGGGAATAAAATATGATCATCTTCTGAATGTCAAAAAGCAGTTTCATTATTAGAGGAGACTTGGAATCTCAGAAGACTTGGAAGTATCTTACTGCAAGTTCCAATTTGGCAAAAACTTTCATGATATATGCATATTAGATAGATAGAGTGTGCGTGCACATTAGATCTACTACCTGCCCGTTTTTTTTATTTCTTACCCACTCTTCACTATAAGGTCACAGGATGAGTTACAAAGATAAGATTATAAAAAACAAATACAACTATTACAATTATAAAGCACATAAAACTATTCCAAATGGATTAGAACAATATGAATTCAGCAAGACTTGGGTCCCACAAAATAAGAAACCTTAAATGTTAAAGGGCACAGAGTAAAGAACTGCAACACTTCTGCAAATGGCATAAACTATGCAATGAAGGGAGTGGCACAATTTAGGGGCTGCAGCAGAAAAATGCCCTCTTCTAGGCTGCCGCTCTCCACACTTCTGATGGTGGTGCAGCTAACAAGATGATGGTATTGTTTTGGAGATAATCCTGACTCCTAAAATGAACAACGGGTGCAACCCAGTTTCCCTTTGCATCCAACCCCTCCTGCATGCATGGTCTGCATAGAAGTGGCTCCTACCATTGACCACAGAACCATAGGACCACAAGGGCCATCTAGTCTAACTGCCTGCAATGCAGGAATCATATGCCCAATGTGGGGCTCAAAACAACAACCCTGAGATTAAGAGTCTCATGCTCTACCAACTGAGCTATCCCACTCAGTAGCCACCCTGTCAGCGGACAGCTACACATGCCTAACATGTGCAGTCAGGTCCACAGGAAGCTGAAAATACTTACGTGTTATTGATTATCTGGAACCGTTCACCCTTCTTGAATGAAAGGTCATCTGTAGTTCTGGCTTCATAGTCATATAAGGCCACAAAAATAGTAACACCACCTTAGGAAAAGCAAAAATATGAAAATCAGGTCTTTTGCTAAACAGGAGGCATATAAAAGTGTTCTTTCAATTTCATCTTGATGGTAATTTGAATGGGAAGAATGGGCTGTATCCAGAAGAGCTTTGTTGCACCTAGGTCCTACTAAAATCCATGTAAAATGTTAGTCATGATATACCATATTGACCCAAATATAAGCCACACCTGAATATCAGCAGCTCCTTTAAAATTCAAAGGGGGGGGGAGAGAGAGAGAAAAAAAGACAATACCTGAATAGAAGCCGCTCCGTTAAAATTCCATAGGCACTCACACCCATTCCGTTTTACCGTATGTCTGTTTCAGTAGCGATATCATAAAAGCCAATTTTGGTAAGGTCGTGAATTTAAGCCACACTTTAACTTTTCACGGTCCGAATTTGGGAAAAAAGTGAGGCTTATATACAGGCCAATACGGTAAGTTCCACTGATTGCAATGGAAACTAAAAGCAATTTTCTTGATCTGGACCTAATGCAATGTCTGTAGGTGTTTTCCAATGGGAACATTGCCCTATTTCAATTTATTTGTTTTAAGAATTCTGGTTAGCTCCTACTGCTTTAATACTCGAGCTGAATTTCACACTATGGTTCTACTACAGGCTGACTACATTGCATGTTTAAAAACTCAACAAATATGGCTCTACAATAAATGACTGGGCAAGGGCTCCAGCTGTATGTTTACCATGTGTGTTCAGACCCTCAAATGTCCTTCAAACACTTCAGGAAGAAGAAAAAACAAAATAGCACAGTTGAGCTTTGTAGGAACTCCATATACACACATATGTGTGTGATGTGCTTCAATGATTATTTCTTACTCCAACTGCCAATTGGATAGTAGCAAATAAGTTTGAAGAATAAGGAATGCAAGTGACACATATGATAGCACCCTAACTCAGCAACTCCAATCAGCAGACGTATCTCTTTCCCATTATTCAGCCCCATGTTTTCCTTTCTCCCCATAGGCAACTAAGCTCAGCACACACAGAGGCCATATTTTTCCAGAGTACACAAGATGCCAGAACTAAACCTCCAGTGTGAATTGCAACTTTCAATAAAAGATGAAAAGAACAAAAGAGTGCTGTGATCACTATAATGGATTGTAAAGAACAATTTAATTGATTTTTCTACAGATGATAGCTATATATTCTCTCATTGAATTCACTGCTTTGACACAATGCTTTCAAATGTACATATTTTAATATTGCAGATACATTTACTGCGGTATGCTTTATTTTAAGACTCTACCACAGTTCATTTCAGGAAAGGCCTCAAACTGGCATTTTGTATAGATCACATTTCAAGAAAAAGCAAGTATCAGTTCAACAGAAAATACAGGCTGCAAACTCTGCCCACATACATCCCTTCACTAAAAACAAGCCACCTCTTCAATTTTGCTGGGTTTCTTTAAGAAAATTCCTGAAGTTCGGCACACGCTATGGATAAACTTCTTAGATTTTTGAATCTTTATGGTTGCAGTTTTCACAGAGCCCTCAAAGTACAGTGGTACCTTGGTTCTTGAACCTAATCCATTCCGGGAGTCTGTTTGACTCCCAAAACTGTTCAAAAACCAAGGCGCAGCTTTCAATTGGCTGCAGGAGCTTCCTCCACTCAATCGGAAACCGCAGAAGCTGTGTCGGACGTTCGGCTTCCAAAAAACGTTCACAAACTGGAATATTTACTTCTGGGTTTGCTGCGTTTGGGAGCCGATTTGTTCGACAACTAAGCCTATTCAGGAACCAAGGTACCACTGCAAATACTCAATCTCAATTTAGTTTAAGAGAGAACTTTTTTTTTTTTACCCCTCAGTGGTCTAAGGAAAACCATTGTACACACGTATGCATTTCCTCCTAAAGACTTACACTGAGTACAGATGATCATTGTTGTAGACTGATTTCCTGTTCCTGCAACCATATTATCCCCTTGATCCAGCAAAACTAACATAACTGTCCAAACATAATGTGTGAGGGTGGGGAAAATTTCAGCAGATTTTTTTTATAGAAAACCCTTTGGGGGCTATTCAGTTTGGATATTTCTTTTTTAAAAAGGTTGGAACATGACAGATATTTGCATAATAATGAATGAATGAAGCATGCATTCTGAAAGGAAATATGCATACTGGAAGTACCCATAAATCCAAATTTGAAGAGAAAGCGGAACTCTAGTCTCCAGACGTTCCATTCCATGTGTGGCTTCGGTTGCTCTGTACTGGAATGTTGGCCTCATTATGAGGTAAATGTGATTGTTATGTGCAAAAAGGTCTTATTTTCAGATTTTTCTAGTAATCAGCATGTCTAGAAATATATATAAAATATCTATACACTTCTGTTTTCTGGATAGCGTAGAAGCAGTGATGTGAGGTTGGAAATTTTCTCCTATATTTTTTGTAGAAGTTTCCCCATTTCTAAAAATGAAGTGGTCCATATAATTAATTAATAAATAGCATAAGGAATGGATGCACCACCAGTCAAAAGAGCCATTTCAAAGTTGTCACCTTTTTTTCCAAGTGACTATCCCATGGGTGCTCATTTAGCACACAAACAAACACATGCCCTAAATCTTCAGCAGGGTTTGGTTCAGACATATCCCAAGCCAAACTGGGCTGCCAGGGACAGGTCCAGTGCTGTTTAAGGTGAAGCAGGTGTCCTCTGAGGCATCCTAAACAAAGTCAGTGAAGCCTCATGGCTGCTTTGAAGCTTCAGAGGTCCCAGAGAACTTAGAACTGCCTCCTTAAAATCATAACATTTCCTCAAGATCTCCAAAAAAGACAGGCGGAAGGGAGAGTAGAGGGTGCAGTTTTGTGACTGACTAACTGGAAAATAGCTTCCCCAGGGCTCTTCTTTTTCACTTCCAATCATGGTGCTTCTGCGAGGGAGATAAGTGTCAACTAAGCAGAAATAAAAAAGAAAAGCCACAAACTGTTTTTCATCTATCACACTTCCCCTCACCTCTTCTTCTATGCTCCGTGCTGTTTTCTACATACTGACCAAAAAACCCCAGAAGGATAAGTTAGTTCCTTTCCGCCAAACACTTTAATAACTGCCCATCCCCTTGTATACCCCCCACCCCGTGCCTATCCTTATGAAATTCTACATATTATTTTGGCATCTTTTGACACCATTTTCAGAGAAATTCTTCAGAAAAGCCACAGGAGGGATATGCAAGTCTGTTCTTTTTCGCCTTTAAAGACATTCCTTGCACAACCTGCCCTGCTCCTATCTGTCTGAAATTGGGGGGGGGGGGGGGGAGGTCAACCCAACATAAAATTCCATCCATTTCTGTAATGATAATTTATTATTTGTACCCCGCCCATCTGGCTGGGTTTCCCCAGCCACTCTGGGCGGCTTCCAATAAAGATGAAAAATACACTAAAATGTCACATATTAAAAACTTCCCTGAACAGGGCTGCCTTCAGATGTCTTCTGAATGTCAGGTAGTTGTTTATCGCTTTGACATCTGATGGGAGGGCGTTCCACAGGGCGGGCGCCACTACCGAGAAGGCCCTCTGCTTGGTTCCCTGTAACTTGGCCTCTCGCAGTGAGGGAACCGCCAGAAGGCCCTCGGAGCTGGACCTCAGTGTCCGGGCAGAACGATGGGGGAGGAGACGCTCCTTCAGATATACTGGACCGAGGCCGTTTAGGGCTTTAAAGGTCAGCACCAACACTTTGAATTGTGCTCGGAAAGGTACTGGGAGCCAATGTAGGTCTTTCAAGACCGGTGTTATATGGTCTCGGTGGCCGCTCCCAGTCACCAGTCTAGCTGCCGCGTTCTGGATTAGTTGTAGTTTCCAGGTCACCTTCAAAGGTAGCCCCACGTAGAGCGCATTGCAGTAGTCCAAGAAATAAAGTAAAGAAATTAAAAAGTATATGCATCCTCTTAAATAAATTAGCAAAGTTTAATTGAACCTAGTGCAAAAGCTCCTAAGCCTCTTTCTAAAATTTGGTGGGCTTCATCCACTTAGAAAGTGCTATTATGCCTGCAAGTTCCATCCACTGCTGTCAAATAGTAAAAAAATACAGCCATTTGTTGATATTTTTGTTACAATGAATGCGGCCATATGAAGTATTGGATTTTCCAAGGCGATACAAGGTTTCATTTCTGAGCCAAAGCAGCTCATGCCCAAGGTGGTCCCTGTTTCAGCTCTACTGTCTCCAAGTTGCTGGAAAGTTATTATCTGTGCACAATCTTAAAAACAGAAGGGTTTCCGTATGATTTCTTCATTCAATTCAAGTCCCTGTCTTCCCCTAAGACTCTAAAAGCTGTGCAGGTCTCAACCACTCAACTCTAGCCCATGCCAAAGCACCACCAAACAATTCTGAATTCTGCAGAGAGAGTAAATCAATATGTCATTTTCATTTAAAAGGTAACATTAGATGTTTTATTTCCAATGATTTGAGTTGTAGTCATACAACACCTGCAGATCCCACTGGTTCCCTATTCTAGCTCTACTGTCTCCAAGTCATGTTTTTACTTCCAAGGCATGCTTTCCATTAACATTTTCCTCCTGCCATCATTATATTTTTAAGTACAAACTCATAGTTAAGTCAAATTTATTTTTGAAGTAATGCCCATCTGTTAGATCACTAGGCTACACCTGCGTGAAGTACAGCTGATTTCACTGGGCAGAATTAGTTTAAGCTTTCCCCTACATTGCTTTATAATTTCCAAAGAATACAATACCTTTTTGACCAGAGACCATGGCAGAGATTAGAAAATGAATGGGTAGACACATTATAGACCAAATCACATGCAGCTTTTGGTTTAGTTAATTCACTCCTAAGGGACTCTGCTGGAATCTGGAGTTAGTTTTGAAATGATGCTCACCTGTTAAACCGCTAGGATATGGACATGGCACAGATGAAAATGAGGAAGATGCTCCTCCAAACGGTGTCATCCCAGATGGCCCACCAAAAGGAGTCACGGAATGGCTGTTAAAATTAACTGATGATCCCTTTATTGCAGGTGACTGGTTTGCTTGGGTTGGATCTGTTCCATAATGGCTGGCATGGGAAGTAATGGGTTCTGGAGCATTCTCAGTCCTATATTTCATTGTAGGACTTTTATCTTCCTTACTTTTAATACACCCCATGGTCTTTTCTGTAGAGAGAAAGATAGTATCACTTTGATATGTCAATATTTAAACAAGTATTTAGAACAAATTGGAGATCTAAGTGTCTGAGGCTTAGACGATTCTAAATTCTGAAACTGAATGGCCTTCCTGGTGAATAAAAAGGTGAATTTGTCAACAGCAGAGTTCATAATTTTGAGCCTGGTTGCAATTCTATGGCCTTATTACACTAATAAAGACCCTTCAATCTCTGACATGTTATTTTCAAGCTATTGAACTCAGACCAATGCAGAGTTCACCAATGCACTGGCTGGCCCCTGTGAGAACAGGATGAAAGTCTAGATAGGCCATTGGCCTGATCCAGCAGGCTCTTCTTATGTTCTTAAGTACATAGTCACACAGTGCAATATTTAGCAGCCCTTTAAGTTAAAAACTGTTATAAAAAGAATACAAAAAAATAACATTTCATTTTAAGGCATCAAAGCTGGACTATTTTAATAACCACTCTTGCCATTTTATTCTCTAAAAATTAAATAATAATAATAATAAACAAATCCACGCTAGTAATTTCACATCTTTAAATTTAACATCTCAGTTGTATAAGCTGCTTCTACTTGCCATTTTTACAGAGGTAATTAAGTTCAAAACCTGCTGCGGAAAAAAGTCCTCAGTACTGATAAACTGGTGAACTGGTGAAGGTCTTTGAAGTTAATGCTAATTAATCTGAGAAAGATAGATAAACTGAAGTAGATGAATCCTGGGCATTGTTGTTGGTACAGCCTGGTCATGTTTCTAGGATATGCTAGGTGCACATGGTTTTTATTTATTTTTTGTGTTTTTCTTCCCACCCCAGCTAAGCACCTGTAGAATACGGCTGCTGTTTTGCCAGTGTAGCAGTGGTGCAGCTCTTCTTTGATGAAATATCAATATAGGATTGTTCTGTTACTTTAGTTACACAAAGTGTTTAATTCCATTGCCTCTGTAGAAATGGTAAGTAGTTTACAATGATCCACCTCAGATAAGCAATTTTAACAAGGTATGTTATTATTGTTTATTCTTCCAGGTTTCTGAAATATAGGCATGATCAGCTATGTGATCTTACATGAACGCTGATGAGTAAATATATTGATTTGTGTATGAAGCATTACATTATTCATACATTTTACTTGCAGGTTAGATACTGTTTCAGCTTTGTTTGGGATTTTAGCTTTTTGTGTGCAAAATTGGCAAATCAGAATGGGTTCAAGTAAGGTAGGAGATCCATGTGGAGGTCACCCATATGTAGCCTTCCACATCTGCATGTGGGCAACTGAGATCACAAATATATGATGTTTTTTCAAACTGTTTAGAAAGATTTAACAAACGGTGTGTTGTAAATTATTATATTCACATTTAATTAAATGAGGTACTTATCAATTTAGTGTTTTCATATAGTAAGAACTTATGCCAACATTAACTGACAGTGTCTTTTTGCTAAACTCTTTCACACTTGTGCAAAGTTAAACCAATTTGGAACTCTCTCTGCTAGCCAATTGTCTCCTTAAAGTATGAGTCCTATTCACTGAGTTGAATTGCTTCATTAAGGGACAGTTGGCTGGCATGGAGAAGACTGAGCAGACTGACAATGTGCTTCAGTTACAAAGAAACTGCAGCAAGATTTTCTAAAAATCACACTGGGTCTCTCAATAAACGAAGCTAGCTGAAGAGCATACAAATAAAGAATGTTTCCAGGAGAGGCTGAAAGTTCTGTGGCCTTCTGACTTAAACCACATTAAAAAACAACAACACAAAATATGTATTTGATTTATTTGAAAATATGCTCATGTATATTAAATATATTTCCTCAAAAAAGGCAGTTATGAGACCCCTAAAAAAGATATCTCTAAACCTCAAAATTCTGTATAATTATTGACTAAGGGCCAACATTCTCTTCTGGGACAAAGAGCCTGATTGGGTGTTTACTCCCATACTCCAGACAAGTCATAGATGAAACATATTAACCCATTTCACTCTGACTTCCAACCTGGTTTTGGAAATTAAACTGCCCTGGTTACCCTGATGAATGACAGATGAGCTGCAACGCTGCTCATGCTCTCAACAGCTTTCAATGACCATATTATCCTTCTGATTATCAACCATCTGGGGTAAGAATTGGAAGCATTGCATTTTGTTGGTTCCACTCCTACCTGATTGATCAGTTCTAGAATGTGGTGTTGGCAGACATTTGCTCTACCCCGAGGTATTTTTGCTGTGGAATTCCACGAGATTCAATCATTTCCAATATTGTTTAACATTTATGTGAAACCACTGGAAAAGGTCATCAGGATATTTGGAGTGAATAAGTATACAGTCCAATCACAACTCATACGCAAAATCAAGCATAGCAAAAAGCTGTCTGAAGCCTTGTGTGGAAGACCATCCTGTCTCCACTGGCTCCCTAGGTTGCAAGATGAATGGGGAAAGTAGTGAAGACAGAAAGAGGAAGAAGAAATCTGGTTCCCTCAGCTGTGAAAAGGGAGGAGAAAGGCAGACAGGGAGAGAGGCAGGCAGAAGCTGTAGCTCCATTCTAGCTATTTTGTTTTGCTTGTAGCTCTCTCTGTTGGCCTTTCCAGAAGCCCATATTTCTTCTTTCTCCATCTACCTCTGTTTCACCACTTGTTTCCGAGCTGCCTCTTACATCAGCGGGAAGGTCATTGCTGCCCTCAGACCAAGCGCATATAATTGAATTTTGTGCAAATAAAGTGTGTGTGCGTGTGTGTTGTGATCATACTGTATTGCTGATGCTGAACTCCTTCTTCTCAAATTATGTTCTGAGTAAATGCACAGAGTAATAAAAAGCTTGAATGAGAGCCAAGAAATGGAATATTTGAGTCTTAGGTGCTGTTGGTTGGTGAGAAACTTGTTAAATGGCTGACATGAAGCAAATCAGATGGCTAGTTTTACAGAAACGAAAATCAATTGATGTACAGAAAATGTGGACACTCATGCAACACACTTCACAGCGAGAAGAAATGCGCAAGGTAGGTCTTTTCCCTTCAGCAGGTGCTGATGTGTATGTACCATGCCCAATCTAGAACAATTTTCTTTTTGGAATTTGCAAGAACGGCATTCCATCATAAACAAAGTATTATTCTGAATTCAAAGAGCTTATTGTTCCAGCCATCACACAGCTCCTGCCATAGTATCATTGGTCAGTCAGTTCACTGCCTTTAGGTCCAACAAGCCTAGAAATCTAATAATAAACAACATGATAGACCAGGGAATGAAGTTCAGCTTAGAGAAGATGAAAGAAAGAAGGAAATACGAACTCAAACCAATTCAAGGCCAACAATGAACTTTCATGACTGAAGTATATTATACAGAGTTGTCCAAACCCAGGATTTTAACTTAATTTCAAATAAACCTCAACAGTCCCACAATAAACATAGATTATTCAACATGGAGTTTTTGTGCTACCATTTGATGGATGAATGCTGCTCCCACATGGTCCTATGTCTCAGAACAGTATCAGCATAACTATTAAGAGATTAATGATGTTTCAGTTACAACTGCATATGCCATTCAGGAGGTGGCTCTGCCCATGTAAACCAAGCAAGCAAATGAAAGTGACAAGCCTTCTCCAAGTGGTGGAGATGGTATTACTGAAGCAACAATTTGTTGTTGGAAAACAATTTGAAGTCTAAGTGCAAAGATTGGAACTGAGGAACTTTGAGCAGCAAACAAGTTTCCTCAGGCGGCACATACTGTTCCAAGAGGGGTGGTCAAATAGGAATCACAGCTTAGCAACACACTCCCAAGAGAGATGTGCATAATGCAGACTCAGGGATGGCTCATGCTTTGTTGGCCAGGAATGCAAATGGTCAGCTGGGCCTTGTTCCTGCCATTCACCAAGGTGGGGCTTGAATTTACATTTCCTGTTTCCCAGTATTATGCCCTAGATTATGAACATACTCCTGTGAGGGTGCAGGTATGGCTGCCCTTATTGCCAGTCCTAGTGCAGCCTTATTGGAGTTCACCGATTGGGTCTGCGTTGCTCCGGGACAGGAGGAAGGAAGTCAAAATGATGCTGAGTTGGTTCAAAGAAAGAGTTTATTCTGTTCTCCGGATAGCAGAAGGCACTTGCGTGATTAGTCCCCAGCAAGTCCAAAGAAATGACAAGTTTCATGCAATATATATATATCCTCCAGGCATCCTCTCCCTCCTTCCAACCACGTCAGCCTATGTATGCAGGTTGACATCACGTATGTTCCTGCTCTGGTACTCTCAACCATAAAAGGATCTTCCTTCCTGTACTTCTGACCATAAAAGGATCTTGCTCTTCCTACTCTGGGGAAGAGGTAATAATCTCCGGGAACACGCTCTGGCGTTTGTTCCCGGACCTGGGTTTGTGTGTCAGAGTGTGTCCAGGACGTATGATAAAGCACAGACGTGTCTTCTCTCTGTTCTGTTCTACTACTGGTGCAGTGAAGGCCATAGTTGCCGTCACAACTGATAAAGGAGAGGGCTCTCAGCACTTGTCTATACAGCCGGGCTTTTGTTTATGCATTGAGCTCAGAGCTCGAGTTAATGGATTTTAGCTAAGGAAAAATAGGGATTTTGGTTCAGTTTCAAACTGCCTGCACAGTCAGTTTTGGGTTTTGGAAACCCATTCCTTCACTAGTTCCTCCCTTCCCATGAAGGCAGAAGGCTCCTTCTCCCCTTCAGTAGGTATAGAGCCATGGGTACTGTGAGATACTGCCATCTTTCCTCCACTTTATGTTGTACATTCGAAGGAGTTGTTACTTTTAATGCAAGAGGCATAAAAATACTGAAATCTCCCATGTGCAATGATTTCTGGTGCTTCAGAGTTGCAGGGATCTTGTTGTTTCCATCACAGTGTAGATTGCTTTTGGGTGCCCGTGTATCAGGCTATGCTTTACATGTGTGCAGTGGAGATGGAAAATGTCATGTGCTGTGTACAGATCGGTTTCATCTATGCCTAACTGACAGGTGTCAATGGCATGATACACCATGATTGTCTGAGTAATACTGACTCTCACCAATGGGGCCACAACTGTTATAACTTCTGCATTCTGTTTTTGTGCTATTCTTCTGTGCCCTTTCAACTTTTTACTGTGTAAATTTATGATCCTGATTAAGTTGCATCAAGGCTATCTATGCTCACCAAAGTAGGTGTCTGACATTGCAGGTCAATAGGATTGCCTAGTAAGTCTATAAAAGAGTAAGCTCATTGCTGCAGCAGAAGTGACAGATAAAGGATGTTAAGGAATTCTTAATTCTGGACAATAAATAATTTGTTCATTGATTCAAAGGAAATCATTTTACATACCAGATGTTTTGTTCTCAAGAGCTAACTTCCATCAGCTTGACAGATTTTTATATTTAATTGCAAAAGTTGTATGAAGCATTCAAAATGTGCTCATTTGTTAACAGTTTACTAAACTGTATATGGCTTTTGAAACACGCAGCAACAAATAATATAGTAACATCATAACAAAATCTCAGCAAAGCATTTTCACCTCTAGGGAGCAACAGAAACAAAGTCATGACAGGAAGAATAATGTTACCTAATTTCCTCTGTCACATACTACAAGAACAAGAAGAGAAAACCAGATACTTGTCTGAGGTTTTTGTGGTTATTGCAGCTTCTCCATTCTCCAACTATATCCCATAACACTATGTAGCAATACAATAAGTAAACTTTTGTTCTGACAATCTGCATGGTCAGACCGTTTGTTCTATGGTGAACATAAATGTTAAAGATAAGAACTACAGAACTCTATTGGCATTCTGGGCATGTGTTAAGACATTTGCCTTGTCTTTTCTTCTTTTTTTGGAAAGGATATCAATTATTTTTTCATCAGTCCCATGCATTTTTTAAAGTTCTCCACATTATATAGAAATGCATTCAAATCTGCACCAAGAAATACAGCCAAAGAATTCTACTTGTGAATGCACGCTATTTTATTCTATATATTACAAAAGTGGGTGACCCAACTGTAAATATGCTGGTTCCCCAGACTGGTTGGGGAGCGGAGGGCAAGATTAATCTCCACCAACAAAGGAACCTCTAGGTGTACAAATGCCCTACACTTTTGAACCCCACTTCCCTTGTGCAGTCCTCCAAACCATCTTAACCCAGAGCTCCTTCATGACATCATCAAATACTGGCAGCAGACAGAGCACACAGGTACAAACAGACCTTCAGTTTCCAGTGCTGAGAGAAAGGAAAGCAATGGCTTCCTACAGGGGGAGGAAAATGGGCTTGATATAAGTGTATCCTCCATCACAGATACTATGAGGCCAATTGCTTTTAAATGCAGAGCAGAAGGAATGCCCCCTGACTGGGATGTGTTCTTGGGATAGAAGGTGGCCTATCTGAAGATCACCTCCTTATCATAGAATCCATAAGTTAACACAGGAGACAGCAACCTTTTTCAGCCGTGGGCCGGTCCACTGTCCCTCAGACCATGGGGGCGGACGGCGGACTATATTTTGAAAAAATTAATAATGAATGAATTCCTATGCCCCACAAATAACCCAGAGATGCATTTTCAATAAAAGGACACATTCTGCTCATGTAAAAACACCAGGCAGGCCCCACAAATAACCCAGAAATGCATTTTAAATAAAAGGACACATTCTACTCATGTAAAAACATGCTGCTTCCCGGACCATCGTCAGGCCGGACTGAGAAGGCAATTGGGCCGCATCCGTCCCATAGACCTTAGGTTGCCTACCCCTGAGTTAACAGAAGTCATCTCCATTTTAGATAGTGACAGGCCTATCTTGGAACAGAGAGGAGCACCAAAAGGAAGGAAGAGGAAAAAAAGAACTATCTCTAGGGGCAATTCTGGATGGGGTGGGGGTGAGATACTTGCTTTATTACCCAAGATCAAGCAGATTGTTTTTATAATTTAAAATGCCTGACCATTTTATGTTCAGCTGTTTTCAAGTAGAAGAGCATCAAGGGGGACTAGTTTTCTATATACCTCCAGAAACATCAGTACCAGAATACCATCATCTGTATTCTCAGAGACAATGAATACAAAGCAGAGGCAGTGTTTCCAAGACAACAACCTTTTAGCAAAGAACTGTGGTAATCTAAAAGTATTTCTGTCAGCTAAACGTGCGCAATAGGTTAAACAACGTATCCCAAGAACTAGATTTTCATAAGACATATACAATAATGCAACAGTTGTCTTGTTGATTTAAGGTGGAAGGAAGAGCATATGGGTTTGGAGGATATTTGGTGATATAATCCCATTCCTGAAAATATTTACTTGATATTTCGCAGACATAAATAGAATTCCTTTCAAGCAAAATTAGTTAGGTGGTGTAATGTTGTTCCATCCCATAATAGTATACTGTTCTAATAATCCTGTAATAATCCCTAATAATTTTCCGTTTCTACCGACGGGTACTTGTTTTAAATCCAATTGTCCACAGGAAAAAGTCAGCGCTCTCTGGCGATGGCTGTGCGGCTTCACTCCGTGAAAGTAGCAGTCAGTTCGCAGCACCGCGTCGCTCACCCCACTTCACTCTGGAATCCCAAAAAGGGGTTCCCCGTGACTGGGGGGGGCGCTCCTGGTGCCCTGCCGAACCCCACGTTCCCAGGCTTCCTCCGCCTGGGATTTCTAGCGGGTCCCCACCTTCGCCGCGGCGGGAAGACCCAGTTTCCACGGAGCTAGTTCCTCCGGTCGGAGGAACTCCGCCATTCGCCGATGGCGCTAACTTGGAAGTCCCCGTAGCTAGGTGATCTTGCGCCCCTGGAAGATCCGTCCAGATTGCGCCCCCTAGCCACAGACAAATTAGCTCTTCTTTCTGCCTCTCCTCCAACCCCACCCCCTCCACCCATTCAATTCACCCTCTATTTAAAACCATTTCTTATGAGGCAATAATCAATATTTATATTTATGGACATATTTTTAGCCAATTTTGCGCCTCCCCCCATTGTCTGTGCCCCTGGCAGGGGCCCACCTCACACCCCCCCTAGCTACAGTCCTGATTTTCTTTCCCAAAGTAGCTTAAATGCCTCTGAGAAACCCAAAAAGCACATCATTACGGCAAAAAAATATTCTCCATTGCCTGCTTGCCAGCAGTAGGGATTTCAAGGCATACAACAGAGGTTTTGAACCTAAGGTCTGGGAACTGAGTTTGACAGAACTACTCCAATAGTCTCCCTAGGAAGATGCCTTAAAGACTGCACAAAAATATTCAGCTGACTCCAAATGCAGTTGTCAACATAACATGCACGTAGACGCACAACAATCAGATCATATTGATGCTTTTAATTATGTTTTATAGATATTTATAGACAGATTTTATTGCACATCATATGCTGTAAGCTGACTTGTTAAATTTTATGAAAGCGTGGATTATAAATTTTCAAGTTAAATAAATACAACACCTATTATGCACAGGTTACACCAGCTTACTTTCCAATTTGTTTCCAAGTTAAATTTAAGGTGCTGGTCCAAATCTTTAAATCTTTAAACAGCCTGGGGGCTGTTTATCTAAAACAGCCTTGTTCTACCTGGTGTGCTTCATATATTTAGGGCTACAGGTCCAATCATCCCTGACTGACGGTTTGATGACAGTTGTTTTCTAAAATATCTGGAAGTCATTAGGTTGGGGGAAAGTGATCTACAGAACTGCCTTTGCTGTTGCACGAATCAAACATTTAAGAGTGCCCCATCACGATCAGCTCTTTGGTATTCATTAAAATCAGACACATTTGAAGGGTACCAGAGACAGGCCCTTTCTTTAGTGATACCAGAATTATGGAAATCCCTCCCTGGGGAAATAGAACAAGCCTCTTTCTTTGTACTTTTGAAACACAATGCACACTGAAAACATCTTCATTCAGGAGGCATGATTTTATTTTTTTTAAAGATATATGTGATTGCTTTTTATAGATTTTTTTTTCCAAGTAGCCTTGTGAGAAGACTTTTTAGAAGGTGGTATATTAATGCATCCATAAGATAATAAAGAGTTTTTGCTTAATATATATATATATTCATTTAAGTCTATCAATATATTCATTGTAAGTACTGCAACAGCTTAAAAGCAATCTTGTAACTTGTAACTTTCACCTAGCAATCTTATCAACACTACAACAGCTGGGATCCAAAGAAGCCTTTAGGCTCAGAAAATATCTCCTACATCCTTTATTCATTTCAAGACTCACCCACACCATAGTTCTTAGCACTGCCCTGGAGGCTGTACATAATGCTAGTTTTCCAGTCTTCTGAAGAACGGGGAAATAGCTAGTTGGTGACAACCTTACGCAGCTTTTGGAAAACTGGAAGTTGTACTGTGCGCATCCCCTTGACTTTGCATCACCACCATTGATATTTGACCCCCAAAGCTATTTTGAACTGCTACATGATAATGCAATCCTATAGACTGGTGGTGGGGTTAACCTTGTTGGGGGTCTTTGGGAATCAGGTTTTTTTTTGGGGGGGGGAGAGATAAGTTCCATTAAAAATCTGTGCAAAGGATTAGGTTATAAATTCAAAACCTCAGGTTTTCACTCACTAGGGTAAAACTGTAATTTAGATAGTACAGAAAGACCTTGGAAAAAACCCAACTGTTGAAACAATTAATGCAAGTCTGACATATTTCAAGCAGCTTGATTAAAAACTAACATATGAAAACCATGAAACATTATCAGAAATCACTTGCTCTTTGAAGACTGTATGGGTTATATTTGATCTGCAACACTATGCTTTGCCTTTATAGTAAATATTGTCTTAACACTTGACCCTGCTAAGCAGATGAGATCTGCTTGGCATTATGCATTTCACCTCGGGGGCTGGGCTTTTTTTATTTTTGTTTTGCAGTCAGACGTACAATGGTTGTACTGCTTAACCAAGGAAAAAAATTTTAGTCAACGAAAAATGCGCCTCTGACTAACCTTACAGCAGCTTTTAAAAAAAATAACAGATTTACTTATAAAAATTTCATCATCTTAAAAGAGGCATACCATCTTTTCTCACATGTAGGAAGAAATGCCTGCTATGGTATGTGTATGGTATTTAAAACATACGCTTCTTGCTTTCCAGGTATTTTACACACATACAGCCTGCATAATCCTATGTTTGTTCTTAGATGCAGTGAGTTCATTGATACTTATTGTCAGGTAAATGTGTATAGAATTGCAGCCTAGGGGTGATATCTAATTAAGTCAGAGAAGATCCACTGGAATAAATGGAGCTACTTTGAATAGGACTAACATTGGATACAACTCAAAGTGATTCATTGATAAACTTATATGCTTGTTTGATTAAAACTTCTTTCAACGCTAAAATTTCTTTGGAACACTAAAAGTTGCATGTGTTCTTAACTAGAGAACAAGGCCTTCAATATTGATTATTTTATTATTGCATAAGAAGTGCTTTCCTCCTTTAAAACTACTTTTAACTATATCATTTACTCCACTGGTTTTCAAAATAAAAATTAAAACAAAATGCTATTCTGCTGCAAAGTAGTTTCAGACTGTTTTACTCCAAGACACTTCAGTTAATATCTGAACTTGAAATGTTTTTTATTTGACAATGCAACTTTAATATTCCCCAAGTACTGACGACAAATCATTACAGTCCCTCCCTAATCAGCATACTTTAAAAATTACATAACATAGTATCACAAAATGTGATGGGTGGACTCACAGTAAATATTATATTAACTGTTAAGAGTGAAACTGCTCATGATTAATTTAAGGTTTAAACATGCTCAGTGCATGTAAGTACACGTAGTGTGAACATATTCATTTCAAAGGAAAAATTTTTTGTTTAGGACCTAACATTTAATAAATTGTTTTGATTGTAAATTCAAGTAAATACTAATTACACTTCAAAATGATGTAGCCTATGGATACATAGATATACTAACTGAAATGTGCCATTATCCTATACATTTTGTATACTGTCTTGTTAACTTAAGCAAGTTCATTATGTCTTCATGTCATGAATTCTCATGGAGTTTCTAAAGGAAGTTACTTCCCCCCCCAGTGGGAAAATAAAAACCCCAAATGCTTGAAGGAAACCACAGTTGTATTTTGTTCTGTAATAAAAGCTTAATGATTCTTAAGAGTCATGATCTCTGGTATCATTGTTTGGAAAACAATATACATATATTGGGACCAAAGTGCAGATCAAGGATCAGCCTGTAGTTTCTGAATTTGTTCTGACCCACAACAACACAGTTGCAGTTTCTGGGGCTGAGAAACTGACTACTGACTACTAAGAACTGTGTTAAATCCTTTAAACGACGTTGACACTCAAGAGAACAAATGGTCCCGGCTTACTTTATTAGCAACATACAGCATATGCTTGAGGGGACTACAAAGAGAGACTTCATCAACTCACTTCGAGACGTATTCCAGGAGTTTAAAAGTTGAGAAGACTGGAAAGGGCGCTTGTGAAGGTTGGAAAGCATAACTTGGTACAGTACTTGAGTTCCCTCTCCTATTTCCTCTCCTCCCCTTGCCAAAACAAACAAAACAAACAAAGCCTAACCAGGAAACTTGTTGGGATCGTCAATCAAAGCAAGCGAGGGCGAAGAGGACCCCTTCTGTTGGGAACAGTTGTTATCTGGCTTTCAGGAGCAAACACAAGCAGAAGGCGCGTCTCCTGCCAGGCTGCCACCTCTACACACGAGAAGGGGAGGGAGCGGGGAAGGAGAAAGGGGGGGACACATTCAAACACCCCCCCACCCCCAGGAAAGGAAACTTTTAAAGGGAGCGTTTTTGAAATATCCCCACACTGTTGCGTGACTGACACACGCAAACTCTCCTAAACGAAAGGGGGGACCCATATGGGTGGAAGGAGTTGCTTAAAAACTCTGGAAGTGGGGAGCAAAGAAGGAAGAGCTTACACCCCCCGCTACCATAAGAAGCCGAGCACTCCCGAAGGGGTCGGGGGACGACGACGGGTGAGGAGAAGCACGCGGGGCCTAGCGCTCTGCAGCCGCCTCCGCCTCCAGGGAGAGAGTGGGGAAGGCGACGGAAGCGCTCGGGACGCTCACCTGCTTTTTCCTGGGCCCGCTCCGGGAGAAAGCTCCGAGCCCTCCTCTCGGGCGCAGGGCGTGAGGGCGCCCTCGCTTCCGCCTCAGGGCAGGAGGCACCTCCGGCCCGTCGAGTAAAGGGGAGCAGGAGAGCGTGAGGGGGAGATGGAGGCAGGAAGGGGGCGCCCGACGCGACGCCCCCACCGCGCAGGTGCCGCCCGGAGCCTTCAGCCCCTCGGCATCAGCTCCGGCCTAGGGTTCCCCGGGCTGAGAGCGATATCTGGGCGGCCGCTTGGCGAGGCGGCGGCGGCGGCACGCGAGCCCAGGCCGTGGGGAGAGGGAGGAGCCGGGAAGCCAGGGCCCTCGCTCGCTCGCTCGCTCTCCTTCCACGCGCACCAGGGAGGAGGCGGAGGCGGAGGCGGAGGAGGCGCCGGGTCCCCCTCAGCAAAGCCCGAGTTCACCATCCCGACCTAACATGGCGGCCGGCGGAGACCCGGCGAGGGAGGAGGAAGGGGGCAGCAGCTGTTGCTGAGGAGGGGAAAGTCGGGCTCCCTCGACGGAAGGCGGCGGGCTCTGCCACAGCGCCCCCTGACTCTCTCCCGCTAAGCCTCTTTGGCTTGGCGCCGCCAGGCCCAGGCCGCTCCCTGGGAATCCTGGGCTGGCGGTGCCTCCGGGAGAAGGGAGGCGGCGGGAAGGGCTGTTTCTGTCAGCAGAATTGGCTTCCACTTCAAAAGACTTGGGGTTGTTGTTATATTGTGTTCAGAGTCGTGGCTTCAGCTAAACTGAATTTTTAAAAGTCCTTGGAGAGTATACAGTAAATTAAAACGTTTTAAGTGAACCATTGGTATAACAACCCTAGAAAATGCTCCAGGTCTGACCTGGCAGCGCAAGGGTCCAAATTAGTCCTGGATGTATTGGGAGGCGTTTATAATAATTGCTCTTGAGCCCTGCAAGAGTGTCTTAAGCTTGCAAGAGTTGATCTGCTTAGCAATGGTCCAGGAAAATATCATGCTCTATCACTAAAAACGAATGTTTTGTAAAATTGAATTCTGTTTGTGAAACAAAGCCAACTGATAATGCATTTTGAAACTTATTGCAGTGTGTCAGTATAATGTTTCTGTTGCAACTTAGTCTTTAAAGTCCTGAATGAAGCATTTCCCAAAGTTGCTTGAAGTTCTGTGCTCAAGTTCTAAAATTCAGTACTTGATTTTCACTTAGGCTGAGCTATGTGAAGGCTTAAGGTTAGTCCATATTTAGTCCATTCATATTGAATACGAATTTTTATTCTTAATAAAAGTATATTCTTACTAAAAGTAGAGCTTAAGAAACCAAACTTTCTACTTTTATGTGTCTGTATATAGTTATTTGCAATGCAGAAACAGAACAGAACAAGCATGCTTGCTTCTTGGTATCATTTGAGGTTATAAACATGTCAACTATCAGTAAAATCAACTTTCCCTTAAAATTATATTGTAAATTATATAAGCTATACTATATATAACTATAAAACTGTTTTATGTAAATTACTGACATAAAATCTGAGGTAACCATACCAAAAAGGGGGGGAAATGACAAAAATATATAAGAAATTGTCCAGGAGTGTATAAAGTAACCACAACTAGAAATCATTGTATTTTCATTGGAAACATTTTATTTAATACACACAAAACTACCGACAGTGTTTGCTTGTCTCATACACAGAGATACATTGTATTTTGGTCAACATTTCACCTGGTAAAAGGCCCATAAATACCTTCCGCCTTGTTAACTGTAATGGAAATGATAGGAAAGGAAGGCACAGAAAGGCAGGCTTGGTACCTCTGTTATATCAGCAGTCATAGACTAATTTTTGCCCAGTGCACACAGTTATTTTCATCATTGGAAACGCTTAATACTGATCAACAAGGAGATACTAGGCATCACATTCTAGCAGTTAGAAAAGTTGCATAGCAACCAAAATACCTCCTGTTACACTAAGGATGTATAATAAATTAGGCAAAGGAAAGTGACTACGTGACAAGGCTGGAAGTAGAAGAGAAAAATGAACGTTGATATGCAGAAACAAGCAACAGTTAGCACAGCCAATTGCATACAGTTGCATGAGACTTCTGAACTTTGGGAACTGGGTCTCCAGGAATTTTACAAAACAAATCTTTTTTAAAAAGGTTTTCTAAGTACTTGCCTGTCTGTGGTCATGCTTTCATATGTACTGCTACCTAGGTGCACTTCTTGCATATGTAGTTAACAGAAAGTGCCAAGGTAGATTGTGCATTTTGGAAACACAAGGAAGGGAAAGCATGTTAGCAATTGCTGACCTATTGCCTGTAAATGTGAAAACTGCAAATTATATAACTTATTATCAGCTGTAGGCAAGCAGTTCTAATTAATAAAGACCAAATCACATTGGAATATACCACCTAGATGCTAAATCATTATTCAAACGTATCAGTTTCAGACTGTGATTGCAGCACATGAACTCAAAACTAGTGTAAGATCATATTTGTGACAGTAGGCAGATCCACACCAAATATTTAAAGCACATCCAGTGCACATTTACAGTACATACCCAAGAAACCTGGGAATTGTAGCTTTCCTCTCACAGAGCTACAAATCCCAGCATCCTTAACAAACTACAGTTCACTTATAAAGAAGTCTCAGTGATCATCGTTGGACTTATTTGAAATGTGCCCATAGTCACTTTTTAGAGCTCTATTTAAACTGAGAGCTATTAGGATCAGAGTTCTACATTTCTAACATTAGCTGTTTTAGCTCATATTAAGCTGTTTTTATGAAGTTTCTGTAAATTACTCTGAGACATGTGTATGAATGGTGGTTCATAAATAAACAGATAATACATATTTAATGGCTGCTCTTCTAGTAATCTGTATGAAAAACAACAGATTAATAAATACACTTTCCTTAAGCATCTGTTGACTGTTTATTTGCTCCATGAGGTAAACAAAGCCTACATGTGGACTTGGTAAAGATTGCATTTTCATTTTGTTTCTAGGAAAACTCTTGTTTAAAAAAATAAAAGCAAAATAGACTACTTTTTGAGTGACCCAAATTGTTCACGACTGAAAAGCATTTGCAAACATCGTATTAACAATTCTAGGTCTTTGCTGTTCAGAAATGTTTGTGTCAGAAACAGTTACAGCAGACAAACCGGATTACATTATATAAAGCAAACCGTATTGCTGTTCGCTAATCTTTATCTCTTTATATCCTGTCTCCATTTGTTGACACATGAGTGTTGCTTATGGCTGCTTAAAATAACCACTTCCTTGTTCGCCTCTCCAGGCCATTGTGTATCTCACACTTTGATTCTTTGCTTGTTACAGCAGGATTGTATCCATTGTCAGTCTGTAATATTTTTTTCATTTGAAATGTGTTCTTAAACCTTTTAAATGTTTAAATAAAACACTTGAATTTCATGTGGTTCTATTGCTTTTTAGTCAGATTATGTGTCCTATGAAGCAGGTAGAATTTTACAGTTTTTCAAAAACAAGATTTACAAAAACAAGAATGAAAATATTAAATAAAAATAGTTTGTAACTCTGGCCAGGCATTTCACTTTCAAGTTAATGATGAGCTTCCAGTATTTAATGGATGGGAACAATTGCCATTCATGTGAGGAACTTGTATAACCAGTGCAATGATTTGGAACAAGGAAACTGGGTTACTCTTGAATTTTAAATAGATGACAGGATTTATCTCTTAATTAACAAAATAAACATAAACATGCATACGATTTAAATCTACTTAATTTGTTGTGTGAGGTCTCTCATTAGATAAGAAATCTTTTAAATTAAAGGTGACTGCTTACTTTTACATTTTGGAATCCTGTACTCCATAAGGAATGAACTCACTAGAACTTGTGTTTGAGTAGATACAAGATGTTGTAAGCTGCAATCCCAAGTGTACTTACTTGGCAATAAGGCCCATAACTCTGTGGAACTGCTTGTGAGTTTTACATGTATAGGGCTGCAATATTAAAGGATGCACATGGTTTGACATCATTCACTAGCATAGTCCCAAACTCATTTTAATTTAGCGTATGTCTAGAACAGGCATAGGCAAACTCGGCCCTCCAAGTGTTTTGGGGACTACAACTCCCATCATCCCTGACCACTGGTCCTGTTAGCTAGGGATCATGGGAGTTGTAGTCCCAAAAACACTTGGAGGGCCGGGTTTGCCTATGCCTGGTCTAGAACATAGCAAGCTAAACAAGCAAAAGAGAAAATGCCTTTTTATAATCTATTAAAAATACATGATTTTTTAAATAAAAGAAATCACTATGACTTTTCTTTACAATAGAAATTTAACAAGCAAATAATTTATAATGGCATTTTAAAAGATTTTGTGGTCCTTAAAACTAGCAGGGGCATAGCACCATCTGCTGAACTGAAGCTGAAATTAAACTCAAGTATGACCTAATTGTTAATTTCCAGATGAGTAGCCATGTTACTCTGTTGCAGCAAAAACAACAGTGTTGTACCTCTTAAATATTAACAAATTTATTACTGTGGACTACCATCCACTTCATCAGAAGTTTGAAGTGTTGTCATGAGTTGCAGGCATAGATGCATGTGACGGCGGCAAAGAATTACACACAGTAAGGTGAGAAGGAAAATTAGTGCTAATTATGTTATTAACAGTGGCCATTCATACAAAATGTTAGTAAAGCAGATAACCTGGCATTGGAAGGCAATGAACTCATGCAGCACAACTGAAATTTATCCTGATTCAGTATACATCGGGGTTGCCAACTCCCAAGAGACTGTGATCTACTTACAGAGTTAAAAACTGGCAGTGATCTACCCCCTTTTTGGGGGTGCAGGGCAAAGTTGTTGAGCTTTTTTTAGGGGAGCCAAAGTTGTTCAGCTGCTTTGGGGGGAGCCAGTGATCTACCAGTGATCTACCACAGACGGCCAGTGATCTACCGGTAGATCATGATCTACCTCTTGGACATCATGCCTGGTATACATGATAGCATTGAACCTCTTTATGAATTATAATTTAGCAGTTTCATATTGCAGCCTGTCTCTGAGATTTCTTTGTTCATAAATGGTCATCTTAAGGTCAGCTACAGGATGTCATGGGGTGCTGAAATGTTCCCAGGCCAGTTTTTGGATGTTGCAGTTTCTGATGTCAGATTCATGCCTATTTATTATTTAGCCCGTTCTATGTAGAAAACATATTTTTCAGTTTTGTACTGAGGTCATACTCTGTCTATAGTAACTACCTCTCCACACACACACGTTTGTGTAGACATATGCAGGTAGAACTCTGAATGGATAAATTACATTTCCTGTTCAGGGATTTCCACATGTACAAAGCTCTTCTTGATCAAACCTGGCAGTTTTGTTCCAGTGCCTCATATCGTAGCTCAGGTTTTTTTGAGTCAGTGCTTATGCATTTGGAAGGAGAAACATAGCCACATTAGCTCATTCCCTTGACTCCTATAGTTACAGTGGTACCTCAGGTTACATATGCTTCAGGTTACAGACTCCGCTAACCCAGAAATAGTGCTTCAGGTTAAGAACTTTGCTTCAGGATGAGAACAGAAATCGTGTTCCGGCGGTGTGGCGGCAGCAGGAGGCCCCATTAGCTAAAGTGGTGCTTCAGGTTAAGAACAGTTTCAGGTTAAGTATGGACCTCCGGAATGAATTAAGTACTTAACCCGAGGTACCATTGTACTACCACATTAGGTCAATTCATACAAAACATACCCCTCAGTGCAATACATTGGAATGGCACTTTCAACTTCAATGTGCTTCTATGAGCAGGTTAGTGATGTTGAGTCTCAGGACAACCAACCTGGTCATGTAACATGGGGACATAGATTTTCTCAGAATTACTTCAGTGTCTCTTTGTATTAGCAAATACTGCTAGAAGAACTTGGTTATTTCGGTGGAGGGGGTTACTGAAATATTTTCAAGAAAAAGATGTAACAGTGAAAAAGATGTGTGCAGGATTGGATGCAGGAATGAATACTGAGGTATCATCACTCTAGATTTCTTTTTCACTTAAAAAAGAAGGCACCAGAAAAGCATTTTAGATCCATTATTCTAGCAATATCAAAAAGATTGATTAAAAAAACAAAACTGATGAAATGGTGTCCACCATAAGGATTATACAGTAGTGGATCAGTAAAAGGTAACGGGACCCCTGACCATTAGGACCAGTCATGGCCAACTCTGGGGTTGCGGCGCTCATCTCGCTTTACTGGCCGAGGGAGCCGGCATACAGCTTCCGGGTCATGTGGCCAGCATGACTAAGCCGCTTCTGGCGAACCAGAGCAGCACACAGAAACTCTGTTTACCTTCCCGCCGGAGCGGTACCTATTTATCTACTTGCACTTTGATGTGCTTTCGAACAGCTAGGCTGGCAGGAGCAGGGACCGAGCAACGGGAGCTCACCCCGTCACAGGGATTCGAACCGCCGACCTTCTGATGGCAAATCCTAGGCTCTGTGGTTTAACCCACAGCATCACCCGGATAAGTACTGAGCTTCAAATGGCCCAAGCACAGCAGCTCATTGTGCTCTCTGATGTGGATGGAACTCGGAAGGACATACACAAAGAAAAAACATGATGCTCCTGATACTGTGGGAAATCCGCTGCAATTTTTACGGTAAGCTTACAGTGGCAGAGCTACTTGTCGGTAAGCAGCCCCAGTCTTGGCAACTTGCCTTGCTGCTTATGGACTGTGACCTGCCTTGGATAGTGCTATTGTTCCTGGTCCATCTGATCTTCAGTTGCCAGTTTTAGATTTGCCTGTCTTTCCCCATGCGACTCTTCTCCCCACCCCCACCAGAACAACTGGGAGCCATCTGGATCTGGAGATATGACCACCTGGCATGCAACCCCAACACACCCTGACAGTACCTACCTACATAAGCATATAGAAATACAGTGGTACCTAGGTTCTCAAACTTAATCCGTTCTGGAAGTCCATTCCAAAACCAAAGCGTTCCAAAACCAAGGCGTGCTTTCCAATAGAAAGTAATGCAAAACGGATTAATCCGTTCCAGAATTTTAAAAACAACCTCTATCTGAAGAAGTGTGCATGCACACGGAAGCTCATACCAACAACAAACTTAGTTGGTCTCTAAGGTGCTACTGAAAGGATTTTTTTAAATTATTTTGTTTCGAACATCTAAATCAGCAATTCAACATGAATTTTACTATCTAATGAGACCATTGATCCATAAAATGAAAGCAATAATCAATGTACTGTATTATAAAATAAATAAGACTGTATTGTAGATGATAAATTTTTAAAGAAATTTAGGGGAGCTACCTGCACTGAAGATAGTAATTGTTTGGATGGGAGGCTTTTATCCATTTCCGCAGTACACTATCATCAATCAATCAATCAATCAATCAATCAGTAGCTGGAATGGGTTCCACACAGTCAGAAAAACAAATTAACCCAAAAGCCTAAAAAATAAATAGCAAAAACAAAAGCGCTAAACTTAATCTGCTCTGGAAGTCCATCTGACTTCTGAAATGTTCAAAAACCAAGGCGCAGCTTCTGATTGGTGTAGGCGCCCTGGAAACAATAGCCGGCAACCACACTGGACATTCAGCTTCCTAAAAACGTTCAAAAACAGGAACACTTACTTCCGGGTTTTCGGCATTTGGGAGCAAACGTGTTTGAGAACCAAGGCGTTTGAGAACCAAGGTACCACTGTATAACCTGCAGACATACAACTCTAAAAATGTGTATTGATCTGAAGGTCTTAAATTCCTGGTCTCATTTCTCAGGACAAATGCTGGTGTTCTTCAGAATATTAGAGAAAATGACTCAAAATATTTTTCTGTAAAAAATATTTCACTCATATACTTTTTGGATGATCTTAGGAGAAAGCCAAGGTTTTTCTGAGAACCCAAAGATGTTTGAACAGTAAATACACAGATCATCTTATCCTTCCTTTCAATGACCTGTGCATTAGATATATAATTATTCTTTTACAGCAGCTGTTAGGACTCATTAATCACTTCTGAAAGGAAGCATATGACTCAGAGCAAGCATGCAGACAGAATAATAGGTGAGTCTTTGATGCCTAATGATGGCTGACTTGTGCTCTTGTCCCAGTTGGCTAACAAGCTAGTCTGGACCAGATGGTGCCATGACTGGAGGAACTTCTTTCAGGAGTGTTGACGGTTAAACCCACTGAAAGTAGGGAAGGAGGCAGAGGAGAATGGCAAACTGTCCAGAGTCTTTTGTGACAGAGGGCTAAAATAGATTGAACAGATTTGCTTCCCCTTCCCCTTGCTTTGCAGTCTACCTCAAAAGGTTCAAACATCCTTTTTGGGTCTGTTTTTTCTGCTTCTGTAAACTCGCCACTAGCGATCTAAGCACTACAGGTGTACCTGCCCTTTTGCCCGATGCACCACTGCACTTTAGGTGCCTCTGCTGTCCTCTTTTTGGCAGCTGCTTAAAACATTTTGGTTTAGGCATATACTGTAAATAGATACCGTATTTTTTGCTCTATAAGATGCACCTGACCATAAGACGCACCTAGTTTTTGGAGGAGGAAAACAA